TTGATGTTGACATTGATGATGATATTCAACCTCGAAAACCAGGATGTGTGGAACGAATTAAACGTGGGGATCTGAAGAATCGCGGATGGCACATTGAACCGAAAATTCGTCATTTTTTGAACGAATAATCTTATTCCATCCACAAGATTTTATTGCTATTCCAAAGAAATGAATCAACAATTTGTCAAATATGCCTTCTCTCTTGAAATCGCTTTTTTCAACATCAGTAAGTGTGAAGGATTATTTACTGATAAACAAATTTCTTTTTGTTTTATGACCTGGAATAGTAATGTAGAAGAGGTCACTCAATATTATCACTCAGTGCGAGGATATTTCAGGGCAGATATCATTGTCAATCATAAAAAACATAAATCAGCCAAGGAAAAACTTGAAGAGGTTAAGCTACGCCTTAAATTAAATGATGCACGGTGAGTGGTTGAAATTCAAAATTTAATTTAACGGTCAAGGATGATATAAAATCCAGGATCTTGAATGTTTTTTTCTCATTTAAGTTTTATTCTTTCTAGTGTTTGGGGATCTAATTGTAAGTTAACTGTACTGGAAAAATGAAATTTCTCATGATTTTTATAAAGACAATGTAACTCTGGTTTACTCAGATACTGATTCATTTGCTAAGACTTCGGATTAGGTCCGCACGTTTAGAGACCTGAAATTTTTTGTACATATAGCTCATGTCAAACTACATATTATGTGCAAGTGTGGAATTGAGGAAAGATCTAGTTCCTGAGATACAGGGCTTCAAAGTTGGATTTTGCCATAGAGCTCTATGCATACTGATGCTTTTTACCTCTTGATTTTTGTATGTGTTATACCTTATGGTATGAAGTATTATCATGAAAAAAGTTAAGAGTCTAGCTACCACGGGTGAGTACTTATAGTGTGTTCTTTATGAGACTTAATTCATCTTTTACTATAATTAATGAACCACTGCATATAGAAGTATTAAATTCAATATCAAGTCAAGGTCATTTAGAGGACATTTTGAAATCTAGATGCATTATTTTTCTGTGTATTTTTGCTATGCTAGAACCTATCCAATTATATAGGCGTAATGAACATATACGCCGTATGAGGGCGCTGGAATGATAATGTTGCGGTTATAAGCAATAATTTGTCATTATCATTCCAGCGTCCGAGTTGGCAGGACTCGGAGAACAAAACCTTGGCCCACTTACCGTTCTTGGGCCCCAGGCTTCCAGGCACCCGGTAAACAACATCTGTTTGGCCAGTAAAATTCAGCTCTACCTCCTCGTGGTACTGGCTGGGTAATGCAAACAAAGCTCTGGTGATGTTCAATCTCAATATTATGTTAATTACTTTATGTTACTACTTAGACACCTCTGCACTTAAACGGCGCTGCGAAAATTTTTTGACCCCTCCCACTCGAGTGGGCGTGGCCGATAGCGGCTTGGTAAAAAGCATTAGTATGCATACAGGAAAACTTCATTTTTACCCATAGAGCTCTATGGCAAAATCCAGCTTTGAAGCCCTGTATCTCATGAAACTAGATCTTTCCTCAATTCCACACTTGCACATAATATGTAGTTTGACATGAGCTATATGTACAAAAAATTTCAGGTCTCTAAACGTGCGGACCTAATCCGAAGTCCAGCCAAAACTTGGAAACGAGGCTCAAGAAAGGATACTGACCGACTCATACAAGTATGCATGTGTCTATTGTAGATAAAAGGACACTGATCTCTTGTGGGTTAAAAAACATGTATTTGGAACTCGAACTGGAGAAACGAACATTAGAAACGCATGCTATGTTCGAAATTCTCTAGAAAAGAATTCATCAGGGTTTCAGGCAAGACAGCATTCCCAGCAAAATTTACTTTAGCTAAGATTATTTGCAAAAATGATGAATACATCACCTACACAAGTGATGGCGAACCAAACTTTACTGAACCAAATGAAATGAAGCAGAATCTAAGTAATATCGTTGTGTAAAACAAAAAAAGACCTGGCAAAGGACGACCTCCTCTTGTCTACACCAATATTTATTCAGCCAGATGTCAAGAGCGTCTCATGACGGAAGAAATGATAACTACTATAAGAGAAGCTGATGCTATGGTTTTAGCTAGACCAACCACCAGCATTGAACCAGCTCACAGCTCACGACAGACTGCTACAGAGCCCATACAACCACAAAATGATGTAGTTCTCAGAAAGTTACTAACATACTAGGTCCATGTTGAAGGTTATTGCATGAAAAAGACGGAGAAATCCGTTACTGTATCAATTATGGGAGAACCGATGCATCACCTTCAAGATTAACAAATTTAGAACAAATAGATACTTATAAAGAATTGGAAACGCAGGAACAAGTTAAAGAATGGTACTCACGCTGCCCCATAAACAGTCCTTGTAAAGGAATTGAAATTTTGGATGAAGAGATCGACATGATACATTAGACATACATTATGCGATAAAGTTTTATCAATGATGCACAAGTGAAAGTTACCAGTTATGTTATTTTAGGTTAGGTTGGGTTAGGTTCATCAAACCAAAGACGTGCGTGTGACTTTTTGTGTTCTTTCACACGAATACCTTAAAATGACCTTCGAACGCTACCTCCGTTAAACGACCTTGAAAATCGTAGGTTTGAGCACTACAACTCAACAGTTCTCTGGTCAAGTCTGACATTCATATGACTTTTAGCTCTGGAGTATTTAGTGTAATAGCCGTAGTGGATAAAAAACGCGCTGTACATCCATGATTTCCACCTCTAATAATAAGTGTATGAAATCTATCATTTCCATCCTTATTCTATTTTGAATTAACGTTATCTTGGCCTTTGTGATCAATATTACATTAGTTTACGATTTTCTTCGATTATTTCTTTCATCCTTGGTAACTTTTTGTATCAGTTCTTTTGTTTATATTAACGTTGATAAGCGCATTTGTAAGTGGAAAGTGATTAATCTCTTCATGATGTAAATAATAATATTTGCGTTCAATTATATTGAGATATGCGGGTATTGGTTCACCTCGGACTAATTTCAAATTATATTCAAAAAGACATTCATTTGAAAAAATACCTTCTTTGACATTTTTTGGTTAAATACATAATTATCGTGACCAATGTCGTTGACCAATTGATAAATTTTCTTGTGTTTTTCCCTTAACCAAATCTCAATCAAACAGCTAAATCCAGATATTATCAAACTTTCTTCCACACAAAAAGGGCGTAGCATTTTAAAAACATCTATTAAATCTTTTTGAATAGATTGACTTGCCTTAAGTCGTGTGTTTATCGAATGATAACCCACCACCTGTTCGTGTCTCGTTACACAAAAAAACAGTCTGGGTGTACAATTTGAGTGTAACGCCTGTGCGGCGAGACTAACTTGACCACTTTTTGCCAACTCTGAATTTTGGTAGCATGACATGTAAAGACCATTGGTATTTCTTTTAAATATTTTGGTGAAAAGATTAGAGCGAGTTCTGACCAACAGCAGTCAATAAGCAAAGGAGTCAGCTCGTTGTAAAAGTCCATAAAGAGATCTAAGCGCATAAGTCCGGGATCAGTCCATTCAAAGATCATGTTTCTTAATCTTTATCTAAAAGAAGAAGAGTAACTTTTTGCTATTAGCAATAGATAGCCTTGTGATTTTTGCATGTAAATAATAATATTTGCGTTTGGTTATATTGAGATATGCGGATATTGGTTCACCTCGGACTGATTTCAAATTATATTCAAAAAGACATGTAACCTGAACACCGAACTTGCCGTACCCGAACTTGGTTTGACGTTATTCGAGGAGTCTTGGATGGTATTTAGAAATTCGCGAAAGTTTTGAGAACTCGGAAAATGAAGATTAAAGGTAAGTAAAGGTAAAGTGTGTGAGTTTGTTGAGATGAAAATAGTTCATTTAAATTCGGAATTGTAATCAGTTGATTACAGAAAATTAGCCGCAGCTCCTTATGGCTGAATGCATCAGATCGTGATAGAATTTGGTTCTAGTAAACCAAACCAAGTTACACCCAAGGACCCGTCAAAATTTTGTTGTAAGTTTTGTGAAGTACCGGTTGCGCTTATAGACTTGATGCGTCATGAGACGTGAATGTATGTAGTATTGATTGAACATTTCAAGGTGATCTGAAGGTAATTCAACAAAGAAGAGTATTCAGAGACACTACTGATAAGTTTTGAGGTTTCTATGAGCTTTGCTATGCACGTTAGGATAAATTTATTGAATAGAAGATTTTCAACGGTTATTAAATTAAACTGTAATATCTCAAGGTCTGTGACAACAGCGATGTCTAAATTCAATTTTCAGAATTAAAAAATCTGGAGAATAACTGTATCTGATCTTTTGATATGACAATTGAGTATCGTTCAAACTCATATCACTCAAGTCTGCGTCTCTCTGACTCTTAGTTGCTGAGAAAATCGCAAAAAAACATCGGTGAAAATAGCTGAATAGCCCTGTAGATAAATTTACGGTTCAACAAAAAACATGTTATCAAAAGTTTGCATTTAATGAGTTTTTCATATTTCTTTTTATCCCTAACATCAGTACTAGACTATAACTATGTTATTTTTCACGAAAATTGGACGATAAAACCATTAAGAAAAAAATTTGACTGATATCAACCAGTTCTGATACGGCGAAAGTTGATCGAGATTGATTTTTTTAGTTTCAATTTTCTTTGTAGAAAATGAAGAGAATGTTCTATCTTTTTATTTGGTAACTCTTTTTTAGCAAACATTCCATCTTTTCAAATTAATTCTTAATGAGATGATTTCACGTTTTGTTAATTTAGTATTTTATTCGCGATTCCTACCTTTTCTTTGTAAAAGTTGACATGATTATAGTCTAATACTGATGTTAGGGATCTGAAAAAAGTTTTCATAAAAAATAAATGCTAAAATAATAATTAAAAGTGAAAACGTAAATGTCACCAGAGTTTCAATTCTCAACTAAAACCCGAAACGGAAAAGTGGGCAGCTAAAATCATGATTTTTATTCATTTCGAGAAGTGCTCTATCGATTACACTAGTGGTTGAATCAATATCGACTGATCAGTTCGTGAACTTCCCTTGTTAGTTGGTTTGCCCTTATTTAATCCTCGACTCGGTATCGTTTTGTACGGAACGTATTGTGCTTCCATTCTATCTTCTTCAAATAGCCTGAAAATCAGCGTAAATTCAATTGACAACAATACAGCTAAACTAAATGAGTTTGAGGGTAATTTTATATCATTTGCGCATCGAAAGCGATGAGAAAATCTTGGTAAATTTGAATGCCTTGATTATTTAACTACTGATAAATTGTCGTTATCACCTTTGTTGTGCGTAATGAGGCGATTAAACTAATCTTTTTCGAATTTGTATAGCTGTTTTTACAATAGACCTTGATTTTATCACTCAATAAATTAACATAATTATACATTTCAAATCATTTGATTATACATCTATTTCATAGATATTGAAACATCCAAATGAGTTCTACCAGAGGACAGGATATTGGTATGGTCGTTGCCATTTCACAAAAATTTGTAGAGATTTCATGGAAATGAGGATTAAATTCAATGGACATCATAAAGGTTCCAAAGGAAAAGTGTTCCATCAAAATTAGCTGTTACCAGAGATGAATTGTCTGAAAGAAAACGAGCTTCCACCACTCCAGTTGATCCTTGTTTTCTCATGTAAAAAGCTGCCTGTTGATTTTGGAAGAAAAAGGAAACAATTTATCATGAGCATTTGTTATTCAATTCATTCACTCACCATTGGATCAGAACATGGATATGAAAATAGACGAATGTGACCATCTTCATCGCCAGTGACCAGATACTTTCCATTGGGTGAACAATGACAACAAACATTGATCACTTCGTTGATATTGTGATTATCCCAAATACCTCTTACATCTTCACCTCCGGAACAAGTTGCCTCATGCCATTTAAGATTTTCAGATGATGAAGATATTCCAGTTAGATATCTAAAATTTGGAAGATCCCCTAAACAGAGTAAAAAAGTATCAAAGAACAAATTTAAAATCACCAATCCAATCAATATTTGTTTTTAAAAGCTCAATAGAATTGAAAACAAACTAATCCACTTACAAATTATCAACTCTTGATAATTGTTATCATTTACTGAAGTTAGAAGGAAACAATTGTCAGTTGACCATTGAAGACTCAGAATTGGATGTGGACCCTTGAAAGAGATAAACAAACAATGAAACATTGGGAACAAGGGAATTGAATACTAATTTGATTTTACCTTGAGAACTGAAACCTTCTCATAGACGAAACCATCATCGAAAACAGGTAACAAGTACATTACTCCATCATGAGCACCGGCAGCCAAAAAATTACCATTGGGTGAATAAGATAAACAGACTATTGGAACTTTACAGACATTTAATTGTGCAGCTAAATTACCAGAATTGGCTTCGAGTATCTGAATTACACCATTGACACCGCCAACGGCTAATGCCTGACGGGAAGGGTGAACAGCAATCGACAAGAGTTGAACCTTTAAGAAGATTATTTTTTCCCCGAACCAACAAACAAGTAAGTAATTAATTACTGATTATTTCAAGGCGATTTTCTCGAGAATCTTTTCTAAATTCAGAATTAATTTACTTACATCTAAAATACTTTTCCATGTTAATCTTTTGTCACCCCAACGACAAACCTTAGAATCTAATGCACACGTAAAAAAGGCATTGTCCCCTGGAAGCCCAGCGATACCTCGTAATCCCCCAGAATGACCCTGAATGATTATTTGGAAAAACGATAATTAGTGAGAAATATTATGCAATTTTAAAGTTAATGGTCACTCACCTCACTGAGAATATCAAATTTCTTGCCATTTATTGCTGACCCATAAGCGATATAATTACCCTGAGTGCCAACATAAATGTTGAAATTTGGATTTCCCTTGGTGTTGATTGTTGAACAAACTGAAGTTATTCCTCCAGCATCTTTGGGTACCTAATTAGTCAAATTTAAAGGTTAAAAATTGATCTCAATTGTTATAATGTATCGATGTTCCTCTCTCACTCTATTTTTAGTTGGATGAATTTCGAAGAAAATCAATTGGTTAAATCGATTTGGTCACGAAAATTATAATCAATGTTCATTAACATGAATTATCAACCTACGTTTTTTTTCAAAACATACTAATCGAGTAACTAATAAGCCATCAAAGATCAACCCAGTTATTCAAATCTGTGATTCATGTACATGAATTTTCAGTTGGAAAAATGTTTCATGTCTAATCAACATTATCGTTTTCGTATATTATTATTATTGGTAAAGTATTTAACTTTTAAATTACTCAAGTCAAACATAGATACTGATCAATATTGATATTGATTATATAACTTAACAGTATTTTCTTACCATGATTGTATTAATTTGTCGAAACGTCAGATCACTGATGTCCCATGTAATGAGAAGCCCATTTACATCACTTGAAACCAAAATGTTATTGGAAAGATATTTAATGCACCCAATTGAAGTCTATGATTTGAAAGAATTGGAAAAAAAATCAGTCATTCTATATATATCGTGTTAATATTTAACTGACCTCTTGAGCTTTGAGGTCAGTTACTCGGAAGACCATTCCGTTGTCAGGATTTTGTGACCAGAGAGTGAAAAAGCCATCAGCTGATCCAGTTAAGAAATCGCCATTAGATAAAAAATCAATACAAGTGAAAAGAACTGGTTCCTTTGATTTCTTTAAAAAGAAATTACAACAATTAGACGTTTTGATTAGCCAACTGATTTATTAATTTTTCGAAATCAACTCAACTGGTTTGATTAAACTCGTTGGATTGTATTTGGAACCAATTGATTGCCAGAACGTTAAGTGTTTCAATCCAAAAGTAATCAAATCTCCTCCTTGGGGAAACGGTTTCACTCCGATTAATTTTACATCTTGAGTTAATTTGGCCTAAAAAAACGCAAATTAGTTAAATTGATTAGATTTTCAATTAACTTAATCATCAAACATACACTTATTGAGGCAACTTCGTGATTATTTTTCCAATCCCAGATAATCAAATTAATATTATCTTTCCAACAAAGTATCAACAGGAAGCCCTATGGATGACAAAAGCACAGAATCAAGATTAACAATCTCGACGAAAATTAATCGTTACAATGTAACAATTACCAGATTAGTAAAAGAAACGGAAATTATGGAAGTGGAATGAGCTAAATTTTCATAAACAGCCGAAGTGGTCAAATTACTCGAATCCCAAACACGAATCTCCGAACCCTTGGGAAACAGAAAGAGAAACAGTTAAACGAAAGATCGTTACAATTAACTAATCAATGAACAACTTACCGAAAACATTGACTTATTATCAAGAGTATTTTCATGAGTAGTTGCAATGAATTTACTCCGCTCATCTAAAGCCATACTAAAGAATCAAAAGTTAATTGTATGGACATAAATCGTTGATTAACTGGATCAAACTATTTACCATTGGATATCATGTGTGCTCCATGTAATATCTTTGAGTTTGATTACGAGGATTCCAAAGGACAACAATTGATGCCACAAAGAAAACGATCTCATCGGTTTCAAGAATTGCTAAATTGTTACAATTAGTACTCTGGTGATTACCTTTATAACCATACCTGTGACAATCAACAGTAACAAAAGAAAAATCAATATCAATGTTACTAAAACATGATACAATTAATTTCCTTATTACCGGTCATATCTACTCGGTGGTAAAGTGTTCAATTAACTAATTACAAAATGGTGATAGTATTAATTATAAATGTTCATTGATTGTTGACTATTTTTCTTCCTATTGACAAATTATGAAGAGGATGTCAGAGTTTCTTGTAATGTTTTCTTCTTGCTATCGTTAATCATCAGATTAATAGTAATGATAATTAACTATCATTTTGATGGTAAAGTGAATGAACTAAAGTTAATCAATTCCATTTTCACTGGGATTAGTATTAATTTATAACATGAGAAAGTTCAATGATACTTTAACTATCGTTTATTAATTGTCTAGATTAATTATTAACCAGCTAATTATGTAGATAGACTGAGGTTAATAATTCAATTTTGATTGTTGTTTAATCTCATCTGGTTGAGTGAACAATTTATATTCAACATTCATTATGGTTAAAATGATATTAACCAAAAAGCTGCAAAAAGAAACAACAATTTAATTGTTGCAATCAAGTGATTAGATTTAAAGGAAATGAATTGATAAATTGATTGTTGATTCGATAATAATAACAGTTACAAATAAAATCGTAAAATAATTACTAAATTGTGAAAAGAACACGAAATTCATGAAAAGATTTTCGATTAGATCGAGTTTCCAATTCTGATCATATGGAATCATTACTATTATGATTGTCGAATCAATTTCAATTTCAATTTTCCAATGAAGATAATTTTCTCATTCGGAATTGATCATGTTCTTAATCAAGCTAATTGTAAAGATAATTATTCAACTTACACCCAAGAGAGTTGAAAGTTTTTGTCAGGAACGTTGATCCCTTTGAATAGATTATCATCCGAGTTAATTGTTTGACCATTTGGCGTTTTAATTGTTTCGATGTAATTATCATCATGAGCAATTTTCTCCAACACTGACAATCGATCGGTATCCGTTTCGTCGTGCTCATGGTTGATAATATCTTCAAGAGAAACCATTGATGAGCCCGTGCGTCGACCTCGAGCCGTTAGATCGTCAACTGTACCGATATCACCATTTTCTACATGACTAAAAGCCGATGAAACTCGAGCTCGATTCCCAGTTCGCTTGGTAACTGACCCGCTATTCTTGGCACTTTTTTCCTTTCGTCGATTCTCAACTTTTAATTTAACTTTATCTTTAATCATCTCAGAAAATAATCTAACTCTTTCCTCATCGTCTAAATTGCTATAATCAACTAACTGTTGATCCTTGATTGTACTTTTTACCTTGGCATTGTTAATTGAATTGAATTTACTTTTCGAGTTGATTGTTTTCAGCTCATCCTCTAATTTGGAAGCCTTGTTATTAGTTGATTGTCGCTGATTATCAGACAGCGATTTCTGATCATTAACATCAACCGGTACGAAAACAACAGGTTCATGATTAGCTGATGATTTACCTGTCGTTGTATTTGATGATGAGCTACTTGATTTAGTTGATTGTTGCTGTTTGTTAATCCATTTCTCTGTTAAAGGATTAGTCTGGTTACGTTTAATTTGATTGTCATTTGATTTGGTGGATAATTTTTGCTGATTTTTGTCTTTGTTTGATTTAATTGTAACTGGTTTACTTTTATCATTAGATGGAAATGTTTTACCCTCATTATTATTACTGATTGTTGTTAATTTATCTACTAATCGTCCATCTAATTTACTTTGATTTTTAGGTTTGAATCTATTTCGTGGTTGACGAGCTCGTGGTGATGTTTGTGTCGCAATTGAAGTGACCTTACTCATCGGCGTTTTCCTTTCACTAACAGTTAGAGGCCAATCAACTGATCGCATCTGATTAGTGTCACTATTTGTTGTCTTTTGTGTCCAAATCTTATCAACAGATTCTAAGGTAATTATAAATGGTTCCAATTACTAAATCTATTCATATGTATTAACATTTAATGTACTCGCAATCGTTTAATTACCTGTGGAATTAAAACTCAAGGTTGGTGGGGGTGTCACTCGATGCTGCTTTTGGATATTATCCTGAGGTAAAATATCTTGACTTCTATGGGAATTCATTGAAGTTTCAAGTTCTTCGTCTTTAAAACCAATCAGATTAATCGATTCCAATGAACTTGGTCTTTGACGATGATTAAATGATCTGAAATCGTTATTTCCAGTATTGCGAATAAATTTATCCCGATTTTTGGCACTTTCGATATAAAATATTGTGAAATCACTTAATTGTCTCTTTAATTGTGATATACTTCGTATCTAAATGTAATCGAGATGAAAAGAGAAATGTAACAATCAAATGGTAACAATTGAAAAAATATGGAAATTTTCAGATTAGATTGAAACTGAAATTATTTTCCACCAAGTTTTTAATTGTTACAATTTTGTATTATTTTAAGAGATTTTCGGTGAAAAGTATTGATCAGTAAATTATTAAATCGATAAAAAAGTAATTATATTGAGTAAAAGATAATTTTGTTGTATTAAACAAAGATAATTCTAAATAGTGGAAGAAAAAAAGTTCTATCATCAACTGACCTCTTCTCCGTCACTTGTGTACAATCTTCGCGCATCCTTGACCATCACGGCTTGTCCAAGATCTTTGACGACCAGTTCAAAGGTTCGTTGTGATCTGAGATTAAGAAAAACTCTCGTTCGCAGGGTCGGATCTTTACGGTTTACAATGGTCACTATTTTACCCTCCTTAGAGTTAAGAGATTGACTTCGAGGTGAATGGTCAAGAATAGAGGGTAAAGTTGAAAGGGGAAGGGTTGATGAGACGCTTTTAACACCCTCACTGTTTAAAATAATTCCGTTATGATTATTGGCACCTTTACTTTGTTTATCTTGTTTTCCATAGGGTAGAACCTGAAATCGAGTGCTATCCGAAATAACATACGATAGACCCGATTCAAGATCATCTATTGAGGTGACCCGTTTACCATTTACTGTGAAAATATATCGGACACCAAAGGTTACCTGAGATTTACCGTTAAGATAATCATAAAGTGAGGTCAAACTGTGAAAATCTTTACCAGGTACAATAGAGACTCGAATACCTGGTTTAAAAGGTTCACCATTGATATAAAATGTAACTATTTTGGCACGATGTTCGGATGCTGCTTTTAGCGCTTTCGAACCGGAAGGATTAAGATCATACTGACCAATGGTCTCACTCCCATTCCCACCACCAAATCGACCGGCATTTGGACCACTTTCATTGACATTTTTCAATTGTTTCAATCGAGTTGAATCCTGCATCTAATTGTGCAGAATCAAAAATGATTTGATCCAAAATTTAAAGTTGATTATTGTTGAAACAATTTGCACACAATAAACAATTGTCATTAATCAACATTTTATCAAAAGAAACAAAAATCAATACTTTTAATTGTAACAATTTTTGAGCAATTTGCAAAATAATAATAAAAAAACACAGGTAAAACTCAGGTAGATTGAAATGATTGAGATAATGATGGTTCACATGAGGGGTGGTGATGATTATCATGAGTGAGTCAGAACACTGAATTGTGAGTTGAATCAGTTTTTTATGTTCATCTAGTAAAGTAAATGAACAATTATCAGAGCATATCGGTTGAAATAATTAACAATTGATTCACAATTAACCAGAGATTCAGGTATATTAATCAAAGAGATTGCAAAGAGTAAATCATATTGAATAATAATAGAATAGGCAAAAAAGTAATCCAATTTGATTGGTAAGAAAACGATAACCACAATAATCTGAAATCGTTTAACTGTTCATGATTAATTTTTTTCTTCTTTTTCATTTTGTAATCATTTTTATCGTACTCATAAAAATCGTGATTAACTGATTCCAAAAGTTAACCTGAGATTTTGATAGTTGAACATGTTACGGTTTCATTAAGGGAATGACGAAAAAGGAAAAGTTCTGAATTGTAAGTGAATCAGTGATCGATATTTTCATTTCATTTTATTATTACTAAAAGTCCATATATCATGATGAATTTCATGTTGATGATGGTGATGAATATGAGGCTGTAAATTTATTGATTGATTTCCGATGTAAAAAAAATAACAATCAACATTAAGGTTAATTCATAATAACAGTTGAATGATAATGACAATAATTATGGTGAATACACTGAAGGGATTGATTGAAATTTTCAATGAAAAACATTGATAATGATCAGAAAAGACAGAGATATCTTGTAAATGATCATTAAATTGTTAGATTGTCAATATTTAATTGTTATCCAAAGTGATTAGTGAACTTATTTTTTTCCTTCTCTCTCTTAATCAATTTTCGTAAGTTAATTGCCGATGATTTGATTGTACGAAAACATTCAACTAATATGTTGGTACTTTTTGTGATTTGGTTGTAATGAAAACGAAACGGTTAATTGTTACAGAGAAATTTTCGCTCTCTTAATCTAATTGGTAAAGGAAATGAATGAGAAATTAATTCAACCCACAACATTTTAACAATTGGATTGATTAGATTGTAATAGTTAATTCAGGAGAAGAAGTTAAATGAATACTATTGAAAGAAATGAAATAAAAAGAGAGAACCTTTCGAACCAGAATTGAATGAGTTTTGCTTAGAACTTTTTTTTTCAACCTCGAACTTGCCAATCATTTGGATCGATAATTTCTCAATATGATAATAAAGAACTGGAGAAAATAATAGTCGCAATAATCATCTGAATAAGAGGGAAAATGGATATTTCCATCATCATCCTTGGTGGAAAATTGTTCTTGTGAAAAATAAAAGTTCCCATCGATTAATTTTCCTTCACAATTTCAATTGTTATTGTAAATTAACACCATTAGCTGATTAAAACTGCGCCATCTCATCTTAATCACGTCCTTTTAGATCAACGCTACTCTCAGAGTGATTACTAAATTGTTAATTATCAGTAAATCATGATACATCCGTTTGTTTATTATTATTTCCACCGAGTAACAATTAACTTATTCACTGGAATTCAAATCATTATTTTCTACCATTTATTGAAACCTTCTTCAAACAATTAACAATCGATTCTGATTTATTAGATTTAAATGGTTAAATCAATCTCATTGCTAATAGTTAATTGTAATCATCCAATTTTCCATGAGATTTAAACTCTCATAGGAATTTAATTGTTCTGATATGTTCACCTATTTGATTCAATTGATTATCTGCTATTACAATTTGATAATCTAGCTTCTTGTTAGTTAAAAATTAATTGTAACCATCTAACAATCAATATTAAATTGTTGTCAATGATTTATCGTTAGTTTTATCTGTTGATTTGTAGTTTCTTTTTCCGGTAGGAAATAAATTGATTATCGATAAGTTAATTGTGTTCAATTAATGTTTTTTAATTGTACTGTGATTCTTAGCTAATAATCAATAATAATAATGAATAAAAGTTATGATTTAGTTAGGGTTTAATTGTTGTTGTTGTTGTTGAAGGTTAATTGATTTTATTTAATTTACAATTAATCGGCTTCTTGTTGACCAAATTCTGGATTGAATTCAAACTTTGGGTTTACCGAATTAAATTTTCATCGATGAGACTAGTGGCTGTAAATTGTTTACATAATTAACTATTGCAGTTAATGTGGTAATTGGATTTGTCGTATCGATTGAATCTGGAAGCGGAAGCTGCTTACAGAAAGCGGAAACGGAAGAGATTTTCAAATTCTCAACCTCTTGAGATCTTGCTGGAGAAAGAGTAGATGACTCTCGAAATATTCGTTGATCATTGTTCATTTGTACAATTGCGTCAACGAAAAGGTTAGTTATCGATTCGACAAATTTAGAAGCGAATTCATCATAAAGTTCATTTGACGAATCAAGTTGTTCCTCTGATCTTTGTAGAATCGATAATTCCGATCTCTGTTTAAGAACTTGTTGAACAGAGGCTGGAGATAATCCATAGACCAACAATTTACCTGCAGCTTGACATAAATCAACAAATTCCTCCTTCTTAATTGTAGCTCCATAAACTGCAACAATCAATCAAACAATTAGAGAGATACAACAAATCGTTTTAACAAATCACAAACTGTTGAAACTTACCTGTTGAAAAGGTGATGACAACAATTAAACTTATCGATAGCTTCATTTTTTTTAATTCAGTTTATTTTCACTTGATTGTTGTATAATCAATGTTAATCATTCAACTAACTGTTAACCATGTTAGATATGATTACTTTTATATTACATTTGTTTGCTGATTATCCTATTAATCTGCTAAATTTGATGACAATTGGCTAATTATAATTGTCGTAGTCAAGATTAAACAAATGTTTGCTGGAAAAACTTGTCGTTTTTGTCTTTATAATTTAATCTTGAACTAAATTATTAGTGTAATTAAATCAGATTCAAGTATATAAATCATATGATCAGAAATTCAAGTGATGTATTAAAAACAATTAATATGATTCCAAATGATTTCCCAACTAAATTTGAATTAATCTACATGCACTGGTAGATTAATTCATAGTAATGGATTAAGGAAATAGCAATGGTCTCATTCAATATCTTCACAACTAAAGTTAATCTAATCTCTCAAGTTTTGACATTAATCAACTTTAATATATTTAAATCCAAATGATACAATGTTTACTCAATCGATTGGCTTATTTATTTATATTAATAATAATATAATGAAGATGAAGATTAATTAACAAATGAACTGAAATGTTGATGGAAAAATTGATGATCCTCATGAAACTGAATCGCACGGTTTTCGTTGACCAAATTTACGAGCGTAAGCACTTCTGACCACATTATCGCCATTATTAATACTATTATTATTATTATTTTCGTTAGCATCGGTGCTACTTTTCTTGTAACTGTTGCCCATTGGCACTAAAAACCCATAGACATTATATGAGCCATCGTTTTTCTTATAATTGGTTTTGAAAACTGGACCAAAATTGGAATTGCTTCCGTTTTGATCATCTCCATACGAGGAAGATGGAGAATTCGAGGATGCTGGTCCATTATCTTTTCGCGTCTCTCATCATCCCAGGCCACAGTGCGAAGTGACTAATTAATTATCACGAAAGAATAGGAAAAGAAATTGAAAAAAATTGATCATTTTGTATTTACCGAATTTCTTTCCATCGTTTATTTACCTTGACATATCTCGAAAGGTCCTGAAGTCCGTTATCCAAAGGTCGAGTTGGTTTACCATTTGAATATTGGCCATTGTTGTTATACTTGACATTTCCATCAGCTGATTCTGTCTTTTTATCGTATTTGGCTTTTCTGTAACCAGATTTAGGTGGTGCATTAAAATAACCATTACGATTATAACCTCTTGATCTTCGAGGATTAAATATTGGATTAAGTTTCTCATCGACCAATACTTTGGCCACAATTCCATCGATCACATCCTCTGGAATATCTGAAGATCCTTTACCTTTACCATAACCGAAACCAATACGATTTGATTGAGAATAACTTCCAGTTGATATTGATGGTTCTGCATCTAATACAGATAGAGAAAGAAAATTAAAACACCACAATTAACTAATCTCATCGAACCGTCTAAACCTTAATCACAATCTTAATTATACGCAAAAAGATTATCCAAGTAAAAAGTATATACTCAATTCAATAGACTTTTACAATTAACAGACATTAATTATCACCATTATCTTTATCTTGATAATGATTTTCAGCTTAACCAAAATCAACGTTTTCACCAATTTAACCATCAGAGCAAAGAGATTAATTAACAGAAATTTTTTTAATTATTCTCATTTAACTCATGCTAACACTTTGATTCTTTCACTAATCTCTTAATCTTATGAGATAATCTTTCTAGTGATTGATCAAATTACTTGCCAATCGGAAATGTAACGACAATTATTAAATCATTAGTGATTAAGGACAATGAATAATTAATGAATGTTGTCTGATTGTAACAATTTTCATTCATAGAATTGGCTGTTCAGTGCCAATGAATAAAGTTTTTTTCGTGTTTAGAAATCAGTTTACTACAATTACTCAGATAAATGACCGTTAACACGAACACAAAAAAGTGACCTTTGAGGTCAAGAATAGCGTGATTGTTTATTTTTCTCAATGAATGAAGATTAACTTAATTAAAATTAAATTCACTTCACAATATTAATAATCATTCTGTCCAAGTAAACGACTCAGATCTAAGTAAACAATAGTTATCAATATGTTTTTCTTGAGAGATGAGTGAATTTCATTGAGTAATTAGTGAGAAAAAGTAACAACAATTAACATTGTTAGACTTACCTAACATTGATGGATAAATAGAGTTGATCCCTTGAGCACCATATAAAAAGGGATTAGGCTGATGAGCAAAAGGATTAATAAATGATCCATGATGAGGATTAGGATAACCAGGTGACCAGATTGAATCCATAGGCATTAAATCATGATCGATAGATGTGAACTCATTAAATGCTGGAAAATGGTGATTAAATCCATCAAAAGCAAGATTATCATGAAAAAGTGGATTAGCTAATAATCCAAAAGCTGGAATTATTGAAAAATTAACGAAGATCAACAAAATAGATGAAACAATTAACACCATGATGAAGAATTACTGATAATTGTTATGGTGTTAACAGAATGAAAATGAACAGCTTATGATGATGAAAATGATGAAAATCGAAATTAGAAATGATTAAATTTGATTCGATAATCACAAATGTAAGAAGATGGAGACGAAAAAAAAAACTTTTTCAACTAAATTAAAACTTATTATCATATAAATCAATTGAATCTAAATTTGATTAAAATGAAACAATCGTTTCTTGAAAAATGTAAACAAAACAAGATTGGAAAAAAAGTTACGATCAGTTTGACAGGTAAAGGTAAACAACAAGAAAAATAATAATAATGATAAACAAAATAAACAACAATCAGTATGAAAGCATTAAATCAACTAAACCACAAGAGATGACAAAACAAGAAGCAACAATAATACAAGATGAAGATGATGAAAACTGAGTAACTCTCATGATCGAGTAACGGTGAATGATGAAACGATTCGTGTTAAACGGTAACTCGATGTATTTATTTTATTTTAATTGTCTTTACATTCATTTAGATAAGTAAATGAATGGTCAACATGATGAGTGACCAACGAGCTGAAACGGGACTTTTTACTTTTAACGATATGAGAGGCAGAAAGAGTAACTGGTTTACCGGGTTCCTCTCTCTCTCTCTCTCTCTCTCTTCGTACTATCATGAATTTAGGTTCACTGAACTTGACTTTATGTAAAAAAGATGAAGGAAGAAGATGCTAAATAATGATGATCATGATGATGACAAGGAAGATGAGAAGAAGATAAAAGTTTGAATGAATGAAAACAAAGAAGTAAAAGTTTTGTTGTTGTTGTTTCTTACTTTTTCACATTCTTAATTAACACTAACCCAAAGTGATGAGCAACTAATTATTTTTATGACCATCTCTCATAATTATCTGGACAATTAGATGGATTGTTAATTGAACTAATTAACCAGGTAAAGCTTGTTTATTGTCTTCATCAATGAAATCATTTTTCATCTTTAGTAGTAGTTTTCTTACTAGTAGTAACTAACCTTGTATAGCACAATTTGTGTGTGTGAAATTATGTTAATCTCAAGTGATGAGGATGCTAAAACCCTAAAGAGAAAGAATGAGAGAGAGAAAGAGAGAAAGAGAGAGAGAGAGAGAGAGAGAGAGAGAGAGAGAGAGAGAGAGAGAGAGAGAGAGAGAGATGAGATAAAATTCGATTAAAAATGTGACAAGTACTAATAATAGTCTAGAATTTACCTGTTAAACTTATGGGAACCTGAGTAACCTAATATTTTACAATTAGAATGTCGAGTAATTCAATTAGATTAAAGGTAAGAAAGTGTTAATCCAGTTCAAGAAAATTAATCCAAATACGCCAAAGGGACTGGACAAGGTCAGGCCTAAGTTAAAAAATTGTTTTCCTTTCAGACCAATTAAATGAACTATTTTAGATTAACAAGATAATCCCAAATGATTTAAATTAACGGAAAACAATGACCAGTTATTTATTTTTATTTAATAATTGATGAAACAATAATTAACTTTTTGTTTCCTAAACGCTAATTATATTATTACAATAGTAAAATGATGTTGTAAACGGTCATCGTGAGTGTTTCTAATTGCTGTTGGTTTGATTTTAATTGTTTCATTTTCATTTTCATCTTCATCACAATTAAACTAAATATAAACCTTATTGGAAATAATGATAATATTAATGACAAATACTGACAATTAATAAATAATCACGGAAGAGGAAACATCATGATCAATAAATTTTATTCCCTAATCCTGATTAATCTGAATTAGTGTTAATTCAATTTTCCAATCATGTTTACTATTCAACAATCTATTTGTGAACTGATTATCCAAAAATTAAACAATTAGATCAACAATATAATAAAGTAAATATTGGTAAGTAAATGAATTTGATTCAAGTATTTTAATTCCTTGATTAAAGTATTCAAATTGTGAATGAATTTTTTTTTCTCCCTCATGAAAGTTACTAAAAAGTTTCTTAATAAAGCTCATTGTTGTATTATATTGGCGATATTAACGATTATTAAATTAAAACTGATACTCTTCAAGATTAGAATCAAACTCAAAGTATTAATCCGATGAGATGTTTAAATCTTAAAACAATTGGTTAATTATGATTATCATGGTTGTTATCTGATCAGATTCACGGAATCGTGGTCATGATAACCATGATAATTTTTCTTTCTTTTAATTTGATAATTTGATCATTTATTATTTTCCTGTTTTCATGACTCGTTTCCACTCTGATTAAACTATTTCCGTTTCATCCGATGCAAATTATACATACTCAGATTTATATCACTCAGGAAGAGATAATTTCCAGAAAAAATTCATGGTAATCATTTAATCATCACATCTTGGCCATGATTAAGTATATCAATAGGATTTTAGACCAAAATTATGATATAATAATAACAATCAACCAGATAGTAATCAGCATATTAAGAATATGAGTTATTTTCAGTCTTTCTATCAAATGGTCATCACTTTTTGTTTAATTGGTCATCAATTGATCATCATCATCAGAATAAGAATTAAATTTCCTTACCAATGAACTGAATTAAAAAATGAATCAAACTCAATGAAATTGAAGAAGAGTAAATTTTCAGGTTAATTTTTGATATTGAATCTGAATTACAATTAACTAAATAATCATGTTAATCTTAATATTATATTATAAGTGAATCAAAAATAAAAAAAATTATTAACTCTTAACTTTTTTTTTCCTACAAGATATTAGATATTTAGATTATTTAATTATAATCTTAATCAATTTAATTCAATTGCTCTTCAATTCAAGTACCTTTCTATTGGTCATTTATTCAGGTCAATTAAATTGGAAAACAAATTTATTATTATTAATAACGTGCCTTAATCAATTGATTGAAAATTACATGTTGGTTAAGCTGTCCATTAGTTGGTGGTCAGTTTTTGTTGTTGTTGAATTATTAATAAGAAGGAAAAAGGTTCAGGTCAATTTCATTAATTGAAAATCAAAACTAAGTAACGAAGTAAATTAAGTAACATGAAATTAAAGATTAGATAAAGTTATTGCCTAGAATCTAATTCATCGGATTAACAAATTAACTTTTCGACAATTAACTAACTACTACTGTAAATGCACATCGAAAACAATTGATTAACAATCGGTTACATGTTTTGAACGATAAGATTTCTCAGCAATAGTGAATAACATTTTAGCATATGAAGGGCCAGTTTTAGAAACTAATGATTTAAAGTGACTATTTTCATCTTTCAAGAGTAAATATGGTTCTCCATATTCAATCAATTGACCAGCGTCCAATAAGATGATCTTGTCCATGTCGATTATTGTATTTAGTCGATGAGCTACAGTTAGGACAGTACAGTCTTTAAACTCTTTTCTAATTGTTTCCTGAATCAGTGAATCAGTTTGATGGTCCATATTTGCAGTAGCTTCGTCCAATATCATTATGCGATTCCGTTGTAAAAGAGCTCGAATAAGACAAAGTAATTGTCGCTGTCCTAAACTTAAATTAGATCCACCTTGAGTTACTATTGCATCTAAACCACCAGGCATAGACTCGATTGTCCGTGAAAGATTTACGGCTTTAAGGGTTGACCAAATGGATTCATCTGATTGTTCACTTAATGGATCAAGATTACTACGAATTGTTCCAGTAAAAAGAAGTGGATCTTGTGGTATTATCGATATTTTCTTTCGTAAATCATGTAAACCAAGTTGTTGAATGTCAATATTGTCGATTAGAACATTTCCTTGAAACTCTGACAATCGAAACAACACTGATATTAATGAACTTTTTCCAGCACCAGTTCGACCAACAATACCAATCTTTTCTCCTCCTTTAATATCGAAAGTTAAATTTTTCAAAACTGGATTAACTGATCCTGGATAAGTAAAGTAAACGCTATCGAACTTAATGTTTCCAACATCAGGCCATATTGAAGGTAACAAGTTAGACTTGGTAGTTTTCCATGAAGGTTCAGAAGGTAAATCACCATACTCGAGGACTCTTTCGACTGCAATCATATATGTCTCAAGATCAGAAGTATTTCTAATTGTCCATTGAAGAGCTCCAAATACTGTCAACATCGTTGATAAAATGAGACCAACTTTACCTCCTTCGAATTGGTCCGAGAATGTTAGAAGTATTGTTAGAATTACAGCAAGCAATAATAGCATTACGAAGTCGAGAATTACACCGAGCAAACGATTGGCACCAAAGAGCATAAATTTACAAGAGTTATTGTCATTCAAGTATCGATAAAACTGCTTAATATACTGAGATTCGTACTGAAAAGCTCGAATAGAAGTGAGTCCTTCGTAAGTTGAGGCGATCTGATCATAAATCGGTGACCTAGCTGAAGGAAATGAAATCTAAACATTAAAATTAATCCAAAATCAATCATTTTACCGACTCACTTTGTCCTTCAACCCTTGATAAGAATCGAGCCGATTTCAGGTATATTTGCCTTACGAAAACACTGAAACAAAAGACAGCAATCGCTGCAACAATAACGTATGGTAAAACTACTGCAGTGATTATAATTAGTCCAAAAAGTTGCAATAGATCCTATTAATTAAAGACTTAATTGATTTAGAAAACAAACTTATTGTAACAATCTAACTTACCGAATTAGTAATGATTGTATAATACGCAAGTGTCACGTCGATAACTCCGATATCCCGAGTAAATCTGTTCAATATCCGACCTGAAATTCATTCAAAACAATTTCCAAGTTCTCAAGTATTAGAATAACAACTCTTAGGTTATACAATCAAAACTTACCCACAGGATTGTTCTCAAAGAAAACTATTGGTGTTCGTAACAATTTACTGAATATTCTATTGTGCAAAGTTTCAGAAGCTTTCAAACAAATTCGATAGTTCATTCCGAGTCTAATTACAACTCCAACTAATAAGGATATAATTAATCCCAAATAGATTAAACCATTTCGTGTAACAAAAGGTTTGGAATATTCTTTGAAACTCATTCCATCCAAAGTTTCATTGAATGATTGTGATAATAAAAGCGACTCATCTGACCAATTAGATAACCAAAGATCGACATAGTTCATGATTCCTTGAGATGCGAATGATGTTATTAGGAAAATACCGATCAATATTAAGTTTCCACCAGCTAAAAGATAATCCAAATAAACTCGACCTTTAAGAGAACCAGATGAGATTTTTTCTTCACGTTGTTCCATTTGTTTCTCAATGATCGAAATTTCATCTAATGGATCCATAAATTGTAAAGAATTAACTTGTGTCAATGTTTTCGATTGTGTTTTGGTTAATCGTGATGGTGCTGGTAATCCATAAAGTTCATCAATCGATAACATTTCCTCTGATTTCTGATTATTCGTTTCAATTTCATTTGATTCTTTAAGAAACTTGATGAAATCTATTCCAATATTATTCAACTCCTTGAACGTACCAAAAGCCAATGCTTGACCTTCATTCATGATGAGAATTTTATCTGATCGCTTTAAGAATTGTAATTGATGAGTAATCAATACTCTTGTTTTTTCTTTGAGATAACCATTGATGCATCTACCGATTACAGAATAAAATTAAAAATCACAATTCGACAAAGGATCAATAGTTTACTTACTTATCGAAAAGATGTTCAGCTACTCCAGGATCAACGGCACTTAGTGGATCATCAAGAAGATAAACATCGGCATCTTCATAAACCGCTCTGTTAATGGTAATGAGATTTCGGGAAAATGGTCAATCTAACTGCCGATTGAAAAATGTACATATAATAAACTGAAATGATACTGACCTTGCGAGAGTGACTCTTGCTTTCTGACCACCACTAAGAGTATAACCTTTCTCTCCAACCCAAGTATTGTCTCCATATGGAAATGATTTTAGGTCTTTTCTCAATGAACAAACGTCAATTACTTTCCGATATCTTTTCTCATTATAATCACGACCAAATAAAATGTTCTGTCTTATGGTCCCAGCAAATGTCCACGGTTCCTGAGGTGAATAAGATTTTTTTCCAGAAACAATACACGATCCTGATACGGTTACAATCTCATCAAGAAGAGCCATCATTAAGCATGTCTAATAAAGAGAAGAGGAAATTACTTGTAATTTTATAAGATCAGTTAGAGTTTCGATTTCTAAACTCACTTTGGATGAACCAACCGTACCAATGACCAGTAATAATTCACCAGGTTCCAATTTCAAGGATACATCTTTCAAATGGTCAATTTTCAAGCTCTGGGAGATTAAACATTATTATTTATTCAGCCATATTTTGATTATTGAACAGTAATTAACTTACATTATCCCATTTACCACGAAATCTATCTAGTTTAATAGAACCTTTGGGAAGACTGGTTCCATAATTATTAGATGAATTATTCAAATTGGTAGTTTTTTTATCGTCCATTAGAAGCAAATCCTGAAAAAGTTGACATCTTTCTACTTTATTTACATTTTATTTCGATGACTGTGTTGAAAATTTACCTGAATTCTTTTAATAGAAACTCGAGCTTCAGAAATTAATCCAATTGCAAGACCAATGTGAAGAGTTACTGGTGTTTTAAGTGAATTACAAAGAGATAAAGTAATGAATACTAATTCTGGAGTCAATGGTCTTCCAAGTATCACATGGATTAGAAGGCAAGCAAACACCATGATCCGAGTCGCTGAAGCGTTTGCAACGATGTTCATCAATCTAAGAATCGATGAATTGTATATTTTGACCATTTCTTGTCTAAAATAAATAAAAAACTAGTCAGCAAATAGTTAATTGTGATAACTTTTGTCAATTTTTTCTTGTGATTTGTTACTTACTTTCTTATTTTAGAGATAATATCAGCAAATGATTGTTCCCATGTGAACATTTTGATTATCTTAATCGATGAAATCATTTCTTCCATTGATTTTATCCTTTTATCAGTAAGAAGAGCTGTTTCTCTCCTTTCAGATAATTATGAGGAATAAACATTATTCAAAGTTATTCTTATTGTAAGTAAAAAAATTTACCTGAATTTATTATAATATTTTCCACACATCGCTTGAAAAGGCATAAGGAATACTAGAACCACAAGTAGTCCTAAACTTGCGAGACCCAGAATATTTATCATGTAGATTAGACCTGCAACTGCCATAAACGGTCCAATAAAAATGTACATTATACTGAAAGTCAACTGGAATGATTGAAAAAAACGGACATTAGAACATTTAAAAGATCGAAACTTCCAACTCACATCATCGAATCTTGAAAGATCGTTGGATATTACGTTCAAGATATAACCAATATCAGTTTTCATGGTTGCTGCTCGACTCATTTTCAAAAGCTTTTCAGACGAAAGAGGATTAGATGGTTAATTTCTTGGCAGAATTTGGATCTTAGGACAATTTTTACCTTTTTATAAACTAATACTGTGAGTGCAGTTCGTATTCGAAGACCTTGTCTATTAGTTGAAAGAAAAACGTGATGTCGAATCATTCCAAAGGAAAAAATAGTGACGGTTAATCCAATAGAATAGTATAAGCACTCATTCCAGGTCACATTCGAGTAATTGTTACTTGAAAAATAGCGAACAATTAATCCAAGAAGAAAAGTTTGTATAAAGTTTAACGAATCCTAAAAACAAATTGAGTTGAGAGAGAGAGAGAGAGAAAGAATCACATATTCATTAAAAGCCAATTAATTGATTTCATGAAATAAATACATCAACCGTTAAGAAAATACAGTTTAAGACTGTCGTTAGTCCATAGGTTTTGATGATGGTCTTAAGTAAACTGGGAGCCTGACCTTTAGATTTAGCATCTTTAATTTGCCGATTCCAATTTCTATTTGATAATTAAAAACAAATCGAGTAATTAAACACTTTAACCTTAGAAGCCCTACAATTTTATTTCATTAATAATATAGAAGTATTAATTGTAATGAATACAAGTAACTCACCTTTCTAAATCCGTTGTAACCTTAAGAGCTTCATCATCACTAGGACACTTGAAAAAATCGTCTTTATTTGGTTCACGACTGAGACCGATCCACATGAAACTTGCATGCCAACTAGAAAATTGGATTTGGTGAAAAAATAAATTGAAAAAACACAACAATATATCAAATGAACTTACAAGAAGAAAATTTTTGACAATAGACAAGCATCATCATAGTGACTTGGATTAGTGATGGTCTCCGGTCTATCCATTTACTTGATGATACCCAAATAATAAGCATTAATTTGTTTGGATGATTTGAAACACTTTTTAACAAGAAAAAAGTATCAATAATATTGATTTGAGTAAGAAAACAAAGATTTGAGATCAACGGTAATTGAAAAATTTCCTTTTGATAATCAGTATTAATCAGAGATTTTATCTTCTCAAGATATCTTATCAAATAATTCATTACGAGGCAGTTATCACTGTCACATTTATAATAATTACTTGACTACTTTTTGGATGTCAACTTTATTTTTTATTCCAAAACTTTGTTGCGATTGACTGAGTTCGTCAGAAGTGGTAGAACGTTCAATAGATCCTCTAGAGGATTAGTATGGATTATTTGAATTGCGGAATTTATCTGTTTAGTCCATACTCAACTCAAATAAAAATTTTATGTAATATCATTCTAATTATTAATGGTTGCATTGTCAAGTTAATCACCAATAGGACTTGTGTTTCATGATCTGAATAATCCATACAGTAATGTATGATGCATTACTAATAAAATTACTGAAATAAAGGTTTACAATCATAGAGCTGCTGATTTTCCCGGCATTGCTTCAGTTCAAAAAGGCAAAAGCAATTAAAGAAGCTCTTGTTTGGCTCGTCAGTAACAACTATCAGCCTCTTTCTTTTTCTTTTTCTACTGAACTTTTCCCTCGCACCGTAATTTTCCCTCTTTTCTCTTTCTTTTCCCTCTGTCTTCTTCTCTTTCGACAAAGTATCGATGACCATCGATTTTGGTAAAAATTATTGAATCACAATCGATTATTGGCAAATCCAATAATCGCACACCACTAAATGCATAGGGAGGTCATTGATGAACCTGTTTGTTGCATTGATCATAAGCTGAATCGTATTAACGATTCATTGACTCATTGAGACATCGTACTTGGACCTCATTTGCCAAGTGAGAAATATTGATAAACTATTCAAATAGATAAACAATTTCAGTGATGTTGAGGCCTATAACTCTATAAAATCATTTCGCCTCATATCCTTTATTCTGCGAGCTTATTGCATTCTGAAATTTACAGTGCAGACCATGAAAATCCTGATTTATTATTAATGTGAAAGAAAATGTCAGTATCTATAAAATTCTTTATTGGTAAATTTCCTTCTCGAGTTTTAAAACATGGATATTATTTAAGCATAGCAGTAACAAGTTTTGCCAGACTGATTTACAAAGGATAAAATCGCTGAAGTAGCCGCAGCAGAAGATCCTGATGAGCCAGATGATGCTGAGTTAGCAGATCCTGAACCAGTTGATGAACCAGTTGATGAACCAGTTGCTGAACCAGTTGCTGAACCAGTTGCTGAACCAGTTGCTGAACCAGTTGATGAACCTGAAGCAGCAGCAGAGCCATTACCGGTAGCAGCAGATGATGATCCTGATGAACCATTAGCAGATCCTGATGATGATGATGAATTTGAGTTACCGGCAGTAGAAGCGGTAGAAGCTCCTGATGAGCCTGATGATGAACCGGATGATGATGCGCCAGATGATGCTGAGTTAGCAGATCCTGAACCAGATGATGTACCAGATGATGAACCAGTTGCTGAACCAGTTGATGAACCTGAAGCAGCAGCAGAGCCATTACCGGTAGCAGCAGATGATGATCCTGATGAACCATTAGCAGATCCTGATGATGATGATGAATTTGAGTTACCGGCAGAAGCGGTAGAAGCTCCTGATGAGCCTGATGATGAACCGGATGATGATGCGCCAGATGATGCTGAGTTAGCAGATCCTGAACCAGATGATGTACCAGATGATGAACCAGTTGCTGAACCAGTTGATGAACCTGAAGCAGCAGCAGATGATGATCCTGATGAACCATTAGCAGATCCTGATGATGATGATGAATTTGAGTTACCGGCAGTAGAAGCGGTAGAAGCTCCTGATGAGCCTGATGATGAACCGGATGATGATGCGCCTGATGATGCTGAGTTAGCAGATCCTGAACCAGATGATGTACCAGATGATGTACCAGATGATGAACCAGTTGCTGAACCAGTTGATGAACCTGAAGCAGCAGCAGAGCCATTACCGGTAGCAGCAGATGATGATCCTGATGAACCATTAGCAGATCCTGATGATGATGATGAATTTGAGTTACCGGCAGTAGAAGCGGTAGAAGCTCCTGATGAGCCTGATGATGAACCGGATGATGATGCGCCTGATGATGCTGAGTTAGCAGATCCTGAACCAGATGATGTACCAGATGATGTACCAGTTGCTGAACCAGTTGATGAACCTGAAGCAGCAGCAGAGCCATTACCGGTAGCAGCAGATGATGATCCTGATGAACCATTAGCAGATCCTGATGATGATGATGAATTTGAGTTACCGGCAGTAGAAGCGGTAGAAGCTCCTGATGAGCCTGATGATGAACCGGATGATGATGCGCCAGATGATGCTGAGTTAGCAGATCCTGAACCAGATGATGTACCAGATGATGAACCAGTTGCTGAACCAGTTGATGAACCTGAAGCAGCAGCAGAGCCATTACCGGTAGCAGCAGATGATGATCCTGATGAACCATTAGCAGATCCTGATGATGATGATGAATTTGAGTTACCGGCAGAAGCGGTAGAAGCTCCTGATGAGCCTGATGATGAACCGGATGATGATGCGCCAGATGATGCTGAGTTAGCAGATCCTGAACCAGATGATGTACCAGATGATGTACCAGATGATGAACCAGTTGCTGAACCAGTTGATGAACCTGAAGCAGCAGCAGAGCCATTACCGGTAGCAGCAGATGATGATCCTGATGAACCATTAGCAGATCCTGATGATGATGATGAATTTGAGTTACCGGCAGTAGAAGCGGTAGAAGCTCCTGATGAGCCTGATGATGAACCGGATGATGATGCGCCTGATGATGCTGAGTTAGCAGATCCTGAACCAGATGATGTACCAGATGATGAACCAGTTGCTGAACCAGTTGATGAACCTGAAGCAGCAGCAGAGCCATTACCGGTAGCAGCAGATGATGATCCTGATGAACCATTAGCAGATCCTGATGATGATGATGAATTTGAGTTACCGGCAGTAGAAGCGGTAGAAGCTCCTGATGAGCCTGATGATGAACCAGATGATGTACCAGATGATGAACCAGTTGCTGAACCAGTTGATGAACCAGTTGATGAACCAGTTGCTGAACCAGTTGATGAACCTGAAGCAGCAGCAGATGATGATCCTGATGAACCATTAGCAGATCCTGATGATGATGATGAATTTGAGTTACCGGCAGTAGAAGCGGTAGAAGCTCCTGATGAGCCTGATGATGAACCGGATGATGATGCGCCTGATGATGCTGAGTTAGCAGATCCTGAACCAGATGATGTACCAGATGATGTACCAGATGATGAACCAGTTGCTGAACCAGTTGATGAACCTGAAGCAGCAGCAGAGCCATTACCGGTAGCAGCAGATGATGATCCTGATGAACCATTAGCAGATCCTGATGATGATGATGAATTTGAGTTACCGGCAGAAGCGGTAGAAGCTCCTGATGAGCCTGATGATGAACCGGATGATGATGCGCCTGATGATGCTGAGTTAGCAGATCCTGAACCAGATGATGTACCAGATGATGTACCAGATGATGAACCAGTTGCTGAACCAGTTGATGAACCTGAAGCAGCAGCAGAGCCATTACCGGTAGCAGCAGATGATGATCCTGATGAACCATTAGCAGATCCTGATGATGATGATGAATTTGAGTTACCGGCAGTAGAAGCGGTAGAAGCTCCTGATGAGCCTGATGATGAACCGGATGATGATGCGCCTGATGATGCTGAGTTAGCAGATCCTGAACCAGATGATGTACCAGATGATGTACCAGATGATGAACCAGTTGCTGAACCAGTTGATGAACCTGAAGCAGCAGCAGAGCCATTACCGGTAGCAGCAGATGATGATCCTGATGAACCATTAGCAGATCCTGATGATGATGATGAATTTGAGTTACCGGCAGTAGAAGCGGTAGAAGCTCCTGATGAGCCTGATGATGAACCGGATGATGATGCGCCAGATGATGCTGAGTTAGCAGATCCTGAACCAGATGATGTACCAGATGATGTACCAGATGATGTACCAGATGATGAACCAGTTGCTGAACCAGTTGATGAACCTGAAGCAGCAGCAGAGCCATTACCGGTAGCAGCAGATGATGATCCTGATGAACCATTAGCAGATCCTGATGATGATGATGAATTTGAGTTACCGGCAGTAGAAGCGGTAGAAGCTCCTGATGAGCCTGATGATGAACCGGATGATGATGCGCCAGATGATGCTGAGTTAGCAGATCCTGAACCAGATGATGTACCAGATGATGAACCAGTTGCTGAACCAGTTGATGAACCTGAAGCAGCAGCAGAGCCATTACCGGTAGCAGCAGATGATGATCCTGATGAACCATTAGCAGATCCTGATGATGATGATGAATTTGAGTTACCGGCAGAAGCGGTAGAAGCTCCTGATGAGCCTGATGATGAACCGGATGATGATGCGCCAGATGATGCTGAGTTAGCAGATCCTGAACCAGATGATGTACCAGATGATGAACCAGTTGCTGAACCAGTTGATGAACCTGAAGCAGCAGCAGAGCCATTACCGGTAGCAGCAGATGATGATCCTGATGAACCATTAGCAGATCCTGATGATGATGATGAATTTGAGTTACCGGCAGTAGAAGCGGTAGAAGCTCCTGATGAGCCTGATGATGAACCGGATGATGATGCGCCAGATGATGCTGAGTTAGCAGATCCTGAACCAGATGATGTACCAGATGATGAACCAGTTGCTGAACCAGTTGATGAACCTGAAGCAGCAGCAGAGCCATTACCGGTAGCAGCAGATGATGATCCTGATGAACCATTAGCAGATCCTGATGATGATGAATTTGAGTTACCGGCAGTAGAAGCGGTAGAAGCTCCTGATGAGCCTGATGATGAACCGGATGATGATGCGCCTGATGAGCCTGATGATGCTGAGTTAGCAGATCCTGAACCAGATGATGTACCAGATGATGAACCAGTTGCTGAACCAGTTGATGAACCTGAAGCAGCAGCAGCAGATGATGATCCTGATGAACCATTAGCAGATCCTGATGATGATGAATTTGAGTTACCGGCAGTAGAAGCGTTAGAAGCTCCTGATGAGCCTGATGATGAACCGGATGATGATGCGCCTGATGATGCTGAGTTAGCAGATCCTGAACCAGATGATGTACCAGATGATGAACCAGTTGCTGAACCAGTTGATGAACCTGAAGCAGCAGCAGAGCCATTACCGGTAGCAGCAGATGATGATCCTGATGAACCATTAGCAGATCCTGATGATGATGATGAATTTGAGTTACCGGCAGTAGAAGCGGTAGAAGCTCCTGATGAGCCTGATGATGAACCGGATGATGATGCGCCAGATGATGCTGAGTTAGCAGATCCTGAACCAGATGATGTACCAGATGATGAACCAGTTGCTGAACCAGTTGATGAACCTGAAGCAGCAGCAGAGCCATTACCGGTAGCAGCAGATGATGATCCTGATGAACCATTAGCAGATCCTGATGATGATGATGAATTTGAGTTACCGGCAGAAGCGGTAGAAGCTCCTGATGAGCCTGATGATGAACCGGATGATGATGCGCCTGATGATGCTGAGTTAGCAGATCCTGAACCAGATGATGTACCAGATGATGTACCAGATGATGAACCAGTTGCTGAACCAGTTGATGAACCTGAAGCAGCAGCAGCCATTACCGGTAGCAGCAGATGATGATCCTGATGAACCATTAGCAGATCCTGATGATGATGATGAATTTGAGTTACCGGCAGTAGAAGCGGTAGAAGCTCCTGATGAGCCTGATGATGAACCGGATGATGATGCGCCAGATGATGCTGAGTTAGCAGATCCTGAACCAGATGATGTACCAGATGATGAACCAGTTGCTGAACCAGTTGATGAACCTGAAGCAGCAGCAGAGCCATTACCGGTAGCAGCAGATGATGATCCTGATGAACCATTAGCAGATCCTGATGATGATGATGAATTTGAGTTACCGGCAGTAGAAGCGGTAGAAGCTCCTGATGAGCCTGATGATGAACCGGATGATGATGCGCCAGATGATGCTGAGTTAGCAGATCCTGAACCAGATGATGTACCAGATGATGAACCAGTTGCTGAACCAGTTGATGAACCCAGCAGCAGAGCCATTACCGGTAGCAGCAGATGATGATCCTGATGAACCATTAGCAGATCCTGATGATGATGAATTTGAGTTACCGGCAGTAGAAGCGGTAGAAGCTCCTGATGAGCCTGATGATGAACCGGATGATGATGCGCCTGATGAGCCTGATGATGCTGAGTTAGCAGATCCTGAACCAGATGATGTACCAGATGATGTACCAGATGATGTACCAGATGATGAACCAGTTGATGAACCTGAAGCAGCAGCAGAGCCATTACCGGTAGCAGCAGATGATGATCCTGATGAACCATTAGCAGATCCTGATGATGATGAATTTGAGTTACCGGCAGTAGAAGCGGTAGAAGCTCCTGATGAGCCTGATGATGAACCGGATGATGATGCGCCTGATGATGCTGAGTTAGCAGATCCTGAACCAGATGATGTACCAGATGATGAACCAGTTGCTGAACCAGTTGATGAACCTGAAGCAGCAGCAGAGCCATTACCGGTAGCAGCAGATGATGATCCTGATGAACCATTAGCAGATCCTGATGATGATGATGAATTTGAGTTACCGGCAGTAGAAGCGGTAGAAGCTCCTGATGAGCCTGATGATGAACCGGATGATGATGCGCCAGATGATGCTGAGTTAGCAGATCCTGAACCAGATGATGTACCAGATGATGAACCAGTTGCTGAACCAGTTGATGAACCTGAAGCAGCAGCAGATGATGATCCTGATGAACCATTAGCAGATCCTGATGATGATGATGAATTTGAGTTACCGGCAGTAGAAGCGGTAGAAGCTCCTGATGAGCCTGATGATGAACCGGATGATGATGCGCCAGATGATGCTGAGTTAGCAGATCCTGAACCAGATGATGTACCAGATGATGAACCAGTTGCTGAACCAGTTGATGAACCTGAAGCAGCAGCAGAGCCATTACCGGTAGCAGCAGATGATGATCCTGATGAACCATTAGCAGATCCTGATGATGATGATGAATTTGAGTTACCGGCAGTAGAAGCGGTAGAAGCTCCTGATGAGCCTGATGATGAACCGGATGATGATGCGCCAGATGATGCTGAGTTAGCAGATCCTGAACCAGATGATGTACCAGATGATGAACCAGTTGCTGAACCAGTTGATGAACCTGAAGCAGCAGCAGAGCCATTACCGGTAGCAGCAGATGATGATCCTGATGAACCATTAGCAGATCCTGATGATGATGATGAATTTGAGTTACCGGCAGTAGAAGCGGTAGAAGCTCCTGATGAGCCTGATGATGAACCGGATGATGATGCGCCAGATGATGCTGAGTTAGCAGATCCTGAACCAGATGATGTACCAGATGATGAACCAGTTGCTGAACCAGTTGATGAACCTGAAGCAGCAGCAGAGCCATTACCGGTAGCAGCAGATGATGATCCTGATGAACTGTTAGCAGATCCTGATGATGATGAATTTGAGTTATTGGCAGTAGAATCCTGATGAGCCTGATGATGATTGTTTGATGTTGGTCACTGCATAGTTTTGATCATCAGATGATGGTTTAGCAGGTTGTCTCGTTTTTGGGTTGCTGGAGCTGGTTGATTCTATGGGTGAACTTTTGGATCCTGCTTCGGACATTGAAGAGGCAGAAGACATCGATTTGGCAGACGAAGAAGCAGTGTCTTTCGGTATCTTTGGGCTACCGTTTTTTCCAAAAAGATTCATGGCAACACTAATAGACCCATCTTCGTTGTTGGTAGATGGCTTTCCGAACATACTCAAACCAGAGACATTGTTGTATATTGAACATACAATCACAATTAAAGGAATTAGTTTGGTTAAGGTTTGCATTGTAGGTTTAGATGATTTGTTCTTATAAGGTAAGTTATTGAACGTTGACTGATAAATTTCATCTTTTACTTGCGGCTTTTATACGACTAGATACAACAGTTGTGTAAATAGTTTATACTCCAGAACTGTTATTGAGTTCGCGTCAGTTTTTACAGGGTAAACAAAGTTTACAGCTCTCATGATTGTTATTAAAACATTCTCTCTCTCTGTGGTGAATTTCAATTCAAGTATTCATAAAAAGAAAGGAAATAATTATCCGTGATTATCAATGATTAGGGTTGATTGAAGCTGTTTAAAGTTATCAAAAAAGTCATACAATATATTGACTCAGACAAGTCGGGAAATTGAATAGTTTCATTTAATCATTCAGTGCAAGAACTTTCAAAATGTTATATATTCAAGATTCAATTCTAGACATGTTATTTTATGGTAATTAGGCAAAAAATATAATAGACGAGACCATTTTCAAAAGTCAAAATTGCTATGTCTTTGTCTTTATGCATGTAATGTGTTATCTAGCCACATGCACATTGTTATAAATGGCTAAACAAGAATAATCAGCTATGTTTAATTTCATCATTCTGAATGTTGTTAACAAGATTCGTAACAATCTTTAAAAGTGAACCTTGCAAGCGCCCTAACTTTTGACTGACCTATTAATAATAACTGGCAGTTATTAGCTGCAGTCAAAATATCAATTGTGTAAATTAAGTTGTGAATATCAATATATCGATCGACGAGACGATTGTTAACCCAAAAATATTAATAGAAATCTTAATCTATCGGCAGATACACAGATTTATTAAACTATATATATCGATGGTATAGTTTCGTTTTGACCATAATCTATTAATCTTGATACATTGCGTGTTAATTAAGGACTGATGAAAATGTATTAATGTAATAAAACAAAACCAGATTCTCGGCTAGAAAGTAAGTATACTAATTGAAAGGAAAATAAAAAAATTCAAAAGCTCAAAACAGACTAGAAAAAAATGTAGACTAGAAAACTTGACTCGGACTGCAAAGGTCACGCAATAGAAAGTAACTTTTTATCATTTATGATTTCGCCGGCAACAAAATAAAATCAGCCGCAATTAAGCAAATGAATACAAATAAAGTTTACTCGGGATACTCTCTTACCGATTCATGACCGTGGAGTTGGTACTTATATCAATCGCGAGTCGAATGTCAAATCCATAGAAAAATAGATCAAAACCAAATTTAAGGCTTGTTGGACTAAAGCAGAGATAAATTGAATAATTATGATTCAATCGGAAATCTTTCAACAAGAAATGTATTAATTATTGATATACGCAGCTATAAAATTGATGTCCTTTAACACATTGCAGTTTATTTAAAATTGTGATTTAAGTGCCATGGTTACATAGTATCGGCTAATTAACAAGGTTGTGTTACATTTGTTTTAACTCCAATTTCTTATGTTGTCTGATTATTATCAATGGATATTTAGGTTATTATGACTGTTTAATTTTTTCTATGAAATCTTCTATTATCTTGACTGCTTTTTCTCGAGTTTTATTAGATCTCATTGATGCAGCGATCTCTTCAATCTTCTTGCTCATTTCATGATTATTTAATGTCTCTTCTATTGTGGCAAGGACATTTTTCTCATCCAAGTCCCAAGGATTTAATCGTCTTCCTATTCCGCAATCAACGACACGTTGTGCATTATCGAATTGATCGAAAAAGTAAGGAATCACAATCAACGGTTTTCCAGAATAAATTGTTTCAAGAAAAGTATTATTTCCACCATGAGTGATCACCAAATCAACCAATTTAACAATTGCGATCTGGTTAACATAGTTGGCACCCCACATATTATTTGCCAGTTCAATCTCATCACCTCTTGGTCCTTTTGATACAATGAAACGATTAGGAGATTTTGATAGAATCGAAATCAATTTTCTCATCAAGTCGACATCAACTGACCCCAATGATCCAAGAGAAAAGTAGATTAATTTCCCTGGCAATGATGCGATCGATTCTGGTATAATAAATTCACTCTCATCATCTGGTTTACGGATCAATGCATCAACAAGAATCCATTTATCTTCGGGTTCCTTAGGTTCACATTCGTGATAATCAAGTTCTTCGGGATAATGATAGAAACCGAAATATTTCGGAACATCAGCATACCAGTTAGTTCCTGGTATTTTTGGTACATCATGCGATTTCCACCATATCTCAAGTTTTTCTCTTAATCGTGCACATGAAGATTGGTAAACATGCCTGTATTTTTCGCTCTCATTAGGATCACCATTCACAGAGAAACCTGAAAACATTGGTGGACCGTGGGGATAAAGAGACAGTGGATTCATGGAAAATATTGGTATATATGGTATTGGAGATAAATATAATGCTGGATAACGAGTAACAAAATCACCTATCAATATATCAAACGAATCTTTATTTTCATTGATAAGTTTTTCCATGGCTTTATTAGTAATCTTATAATCATCAACTACCGAGGCAAACATTTCTTTATCTTCGTCTGTCCAATTCGAATATCGGCCAATAGGATCGTCACGAAATTTGTTCATATTTTTTTCGGTCCATAGCAAGAAAGGCTGATTAGATAGTTCGTCAAAAATTGATTCATCCAAAGGAATAAACTTGAAACCTCTTAGATCAGCCAGTTTTTTGTATCGTATTCGATGAGCGAAAGTCACTTCATGTCCAGCTTCAGCTAGAATCTCGCCAAATCCAAGAGTACAATTGATGTGACCAAATCTTTGCGAACAAAGTAGGTACTTTAAAACTAAAGTTCATTTAGGAATTTCAAGATCATAATTCGTGATGAATCGATTGCAGTAATCGTTTTTTAAAAATAGCGCTAATTTCTTGTAATATATGTTCAAGATTTCTTAAGGCCAGTGAGGCGAAACGGAAATTGTTTGCAATTAAAAGAACTTTGAAAATTTCAATCAAAATGATTAACTGCTATCTTTGGTAGAGTGAAAGGCCCCTTTCATTAGAAATCAATTGATAGATAAAAATATGATAATATCTTAGAATAAAATGATAAAAAGATTCATCACTAATTATGATCTTAAAATGATCTTTGTCACTAAATATTACAAATTTAAACGTAAAAAATTTACTTACGCGTCCACTGCTGAAATTAGTATACGGTATTTGGGCTTCATTTTGATTATCGGTGCAATTGAACCGCTAACGAGAGTTATAAATCACAATTAACGAAAAACCTTCAGTTGATCACTCGCACAGTTTAAATTCTTGAGTGGCAGTTTTATCACTAATTTTACAATATTTATATCGATCGACATTCACAATTTAAGGTTAAACAGATAACGTAACCATAGATTTAAGATAAATCAGAATAAATTTCCTAAATACCTCCTATCATAAGCTTCAATTGTTACATGTATGTAACAGATTAGAATGCATCTAATAATAAATCATACAATTTAATTGAATGGAAATGATAATCTCTAGTTGATTAAATTAGGCAATATAACATTATAACAATTCTGCTTACCCATCTAACAATAATTATTTGAATGATTTTACTACACAAGTACTAATCTTTCACAAATCATAGCTTATCCTCATTTAATTGTTAACCTTGTTATTTAATCTATTAAATTATGTGTATCATGATGGATTAGAGAAACAAGAAGTTTAATGAACTCATGATAACATGACAAAGTTTGTTTCAGTATAAAATAAGATTAACAGAACTTTGCTGCTTTACTGATTGAGAAAACCATCAAGCACCTTCAATTGGATGGAATAAATCAAATGATTGTCACCCTTGTAAACCACTCAAGTATCTATGAAATTGTGTTAGATAAAAAACAAGAAAAAATGATAATAAAAGTGATAAAATTTCGTTCAAAGTTCTTGCATCTCTTCAGCAGGTACGCTGGTGAAGTGAGCCTTTGGTTTTTTAATTACTTTCTTGCAATATACTGGAAGTGTTCCACTAATTATAACAAAAATAATGGAAATGGAGCCAAGATAATAAATGAAAAATATTGGTTTTGATTCAACAAATTTGGAAACAATTGAAACGTGAATCGTTTCACCAATAACACCATTGATGAATATAAACGATGTCATAAAATTTGAAACATGGAAATATTTTCCCAATGAACCATAGGCTATTGAAAATATTGGTGAATGGCCAATACCCAATAAGATGAAGGAAATCCAGGTAAATGTTGACTGAGAAGCAGCTCGAGGAACCATAACAATTATGGCGATGATTATAATGAATAAATTGACCACAAATAGGCGATCCTCTTTAATGAATATTGTCAATGGGATGAAAATCAATCGATAAAATGAATACATTGTCCAGTAACAAGTTGTCAATAGAACCGCATCTTTTTTGTCCATTTTAACGTCGGCATTAACTCCAAATGCTGTGGCCAAATTACCTAAGTTTGCGGAATAACCGATTCGTATGTAAACTCAAAACTTTTGAAAAAAATAATGAAGATTTCAAGTACTCACCCACAACAGATTCGGTTCCAAATGAAAAGTTCGCAACCAAAGCAGCTATAATGACAGCACCCGCTTTCGCGACTGAACTGGCCTCTGATTTGACTTGTTTCAATTTCACTTCTTTAACTCCAATTTTCTCAGCTTTTCTATCATGAAGGTAACAGAAAAAGTATGGAATTGAAACAACCATTAGCATACCTCCAACTATTCCGAAAGCATATTGAACTTTAACATCGTCAGGAGAATAACTTTTAGATGTTGTCGTATTAGTGTGTGTTACATTATTTATATTTATCAATGAGTTGAAATCAGCTGATTCGATGTTTGGAAGTAGAAAAGGTCGGGTGAAAATTGGTGCAATTAAAGCACCAAGACCATAAGACATGTGTAAAACTTGTAACCAGTTGATTCCGTTTTCACCCCAAATCCTCAAGATAATCACGTTACAATCTGAAAGATGAAAGAGCAATCAATCAATAAAATGTCAATAATTGATTAATCATCTCGAATATGTTGATGACAAGAAAAATTAAAAAAGCAACTCACAAATATCGAAAACTCCTTGAGCAAAACCAGCGACTATCATCAAAATGAACACATATTCAAGCTGAGTGAACCATGGAGATAGAGAGATACAAATCGCACAAATAAGAGTCGATATCGAGAGGACGAGATAATCATCGATACGTTTCTCATAAAGGCCACCTTAGGGTTAAATTAAAAAAAAAAGTTCATCAAGATAATTGATTTTCATTCATACAAGAAGAACCGCCAATATTAATGAGGAAATAAAATTAACAAATTGTTGCTACTCACACGATGAAGCACCGATCACATATCCAATTGAACGAGCGGGAACCATTCGTGATGTTATTTCAAATGAACGTTGAACTAAAATCTGAAGGTCAAGTAACGAACTGCCCACTAAGGTATTGATACAACCATGGCCAACGAAGGTCATATAAGTTAAAAGTGTCTTGAAGATTTTGTATTGGTTGTTCTGGATAAATTTAATCAATTCCATTTTCTAGTCTTTTTCGATTGATTAGTTTAACGATTAAAAATTCAATTTATTATGTATATCATTTACTTGGCATTATCGTCAATAAGATTAACACTATTGTCTAGATAGTTGATTAAAGTAGAGACGATTAGTTAATCACTAAATTGAGCACATTTTAAGTTTTCTTATCATATTCATTGTTGACTGAATGTTAATCAAATTACAAGTCTTGTTAATGATTATGAAACTTAATAATATTTGCTTGTTGTTTTTGTGTTTATCTGCCTTGTCTTTATTCATCATCTTAATCATTATAATACATTATCTAAATTTGTTACCATGACAGTTAATCTCCTTGATTGTAATCATTATTTACATGATGATGCGAATCAACTCATGTGATTAAATCAGGTAATTCAGGTTTTCGTGTGAACATTTTTCATTCACTTTCCATTTTCAAGTATTCAAAGTGCTTCAAGATTTGTACACAACTACTTATCTTTTTAAAAGAAAAAACTTTCGACGATATAATTTTGGAAAGTTTTAGATCTCATGAACTTGCAATTAGTCCAAAATTGAAAACAAAGGAAAAACCTCCAAATAAGTGACCTCTTGACCACTTTACAAATGGAAAATATCATTAAAAAGTTTAGTGTACAATCTCATGTTTACTACGGAAATTTTTGTTGCATAGAATAAATTTTTTCTGAATCGAAACTTTATTTATGCAGAAAAAGTTTTACCGTTTACAAGAGAATAGGATGTAATCGAGATTTAATTGGTTTCTATTTGTAATCAATCAACAGAAAAATGTAAACATTGAATAATAATCACAATTAGTGATGTAAATTATCAATAAACAAAGTATTCAATTGTTATGATACTACGGAACTGTATGTAGAAATCAAGTTTCAATATTAATAGATTCGAGTACAGTTTCCTTGTACGAAACTAGAGGTAATAAAATGCTAAAATTGGTGAAAATCAATCATAATTTCGCAAAAGAATAAAAAATCGAGGTCGACTACATGTATATTGCTTAAGGTTCACAATTGATAGCAAAGAGAAAGCTTGAAGTTTTCTTTAATAGGAACAATTAACTGCAAAATGAAAAAAATACAGTGAAACTATGCTGAGCGGCTAATAGGAACTGAATTGGCTTCCAATAAATTGAAATGATTTTACGACTTTAAGTTATTTTCATGTTATTAATTAATGTTCGATGTGTTGTTTTTAGCTTTTTTTCCTTGGTGAAAGTCTTGATACTTTTGATTGAAAAGATCAACTAGATATGAATCTCTACGAAATGAATTTTCGTTATGAGATTTGCTGACATAGTGAAATGAGAGTTAGACAGAAAGATGGAGAGAAAGAGCTCTTTATCATAAATTGGATTAAATGTAATTACAATCATTTATTGCTAATTGAGATCAAAATGATGTTAACATTGATCTTTTTCCTGTTTGGTTTAATTGTTAACCTTGATTTAGTTTTGAGTGAAAAAGACTGCGAGGATAAGCCACAATTGGATATAACTACAGGAACAATTAAAGGTAAATCAGTTGACTTTCGTGGATCTAAAATCTATCAGTTTTTAAATATTCCGTTTGCTGAACCTCCAATAAATGACCTTCGTTTTAAAAAGCCGATACCAAAGAAACCCTGGAGAGGAGTAATAGACACCAACCAGTGGGGATCCTATTGTATTCAGAATCTTTATCCTGGTTTCAATACGAATATAAAGTTTGATGAAGATTGTCTTGTGTTGAATGTTTTCGTGACTCAATCCGCTATTAAAGATAAACAACAAGATGACAATAGGCGATTGAGACCCGTTCTGGTTTGGTTTCATGGCGGTGCCTTTAATTTTGGTTCAGCAAACATGAAGGAACGTTACGACGGATCAGCTTTAGCAGCTCTTCATGATGTTATTGTGGTTACTGTTAACTATCGTCTTGGTCCTCTGGGTTTCTTGTATCTACCTGAATCAGATATTCCTGGAAACATGGGTCTTTGGGATCAAAAATTAGCATTACAATGGGTAAAGGATAATATCAATACTTTTGGTGGTGATTCTGATAGTGTGACTATTTTTGGTGAATCGGCTGGATCAATGTCTGTCTCTGCACATATTGTATCTCCACAATCGAGAGGATTATTTAAAAATGCCATCATGCAAAGTGCATCGATTTACGATCTAGATCGTTGGACAATCAAAGATTTAAATACAAAATTTTTCAAAGCCATTGGATGTCAACCGGGTGTCAATATTTCTTCATGTTTATCGTTGTACCAACCACTCAAATCACAAGTAACCAATGATCTCATGTTCTGGCCAATATCAGGAGATGAATTTTTACCATCTCATCCCGAGTCTATTGTTTCGAGTGGAGGTGTTGATCCAAATATTAACGTTCTATTAGGAACTGTTGGTAATGAAGGAGCTTTTATGTTGGTACTCAAAGATCCGATTACTTTTCATCCAATTAATCCATTGAATTTAACTCTACCTCATGCAAAGTATATCTTTGGAAAACTTTTTGGTAAATCGCTGACAAATTACTATTCTGATAGATATTTGGTTAATGTAGATCCAAATGATTCTGATAATATACGATTAGCTGTTAGTCAAGCTCTAGGAGATACAATTCTCACTTGTCCGACTTATGCTTTCGGTAGAGATTTAGTTAATTCTGGATCAACTAATGTATATGCTTACTATCAATCTCAACGACCATCTCAGTCAATGCTCCCAATCGCAACACCAAGTAAATGGTTACCTGCAACTCATGCTGACTGTATCCCAATGGTCTTTGGTCTTCCTCTAATGAAACCCACCAATTACACTATCGAAGACACAATATTGTCCATGATCATGATGGATGCTTGGGTTACCTTTGCTCGTGAAGGGTGAGTGTCGATTGATTTTCATACTATCTATTATTATCATATTATTAACCTTGGATTCTCACTTACTTTTTTAAATTTGTGATAATCTAATCACTTTAACTCATCACACAATAAACCAAGATGTTAGACCTTTTTACTTATTGATAATACATTGTATGTAAAAGTATAAATAACTTGTAATGAGTTTTGATCATTCTCGTAATCTCAGTAAGCCCCCAGCAGTTGGTCAGCAGTCATGGTCACCTTGGAGTAACAATTCGCATATGGCGATGACATTCGATGCAAATAAAATTGGACTTATTGAGTCTCAGTCCATTGAATTTTGCTTCAAAAATTGGCCCTTTCCACTTGAAAATCAATATCCAGTGACATTCGAATCCGGTATGACGATAAAAACTAATTTAAACTTACTAAACTTTATTCAACTAATCAATTTCTCATACATTCATCATCAAAATAAATGCAAAATTGATTAACTGTCAATGTCTTTGTACTTTCAATTAATTTGTTTTCTCATCTAATTCCTGCAGGAGTATTTTCCGTGATTGAAGATGACCAGTGAAGTAACTTTCAATGACCAACCGAAATGAGTGGGATGAATCAATTTCTGATTCGTTGTCCATCCTTGTAAGAAAAATCTTTTAAGATAATCTTTCAATTATTTTTTTTTAATATTAGGAAACTCGACCAAAAGATTATCAATCAGAATTTAATATGAAATGATTGGAGACTTGAGAAAACGAATAAAAAATAATGAATAATATTTTCTCAAGATGTTACACTATCTGTTTACACCGTCCGAAATTTTATGTTGATGATTAACTAATAATTCATTAGTTATTACTAAAAGTTATCAATTTCCATTCAGATAATAAAAAAAAAAATGAAACAAAATACAGTTCTGGAGGATTTAATTAGGAATCTATCGAAAAGATCGCCATTTTTTAGTGATATAAATTGTGTATTTGATAATTAAATATTGCTAATTAGTCAGTTAGATAGAGAAGATTCTACTCTAGTGTTTTAAATTAATCCATGTTTAGTTGATTTCGATTTTTTCGATCAAGGTCATTTTATCTAATAGCTCACCTTGACGTTTCAAAGACGCTGTTTATTATCGAGAAACTTGTTGATGAACTCGAACCACCACAAGACACAATGTGAGTCTTTAGTAAAGACTATTTACTGTTGATTATTTGCTCTTTTAATTTACACATTAGATATAATATGAAGAGCACTTAATTTAATTTCAATTTAATTAGATTTATCATTAAGACGCTTATTATGAAAACTTTTGTTACATAGAATAAATTATTTCTCAATCGAAACTTTATTTATGCAGAAAAAGTTTTACCGTTTACAAGAGAATAGGATATAATCGAGATTTAATTGGTTTCTATTTGTAATCAATCAACAGAAAAATGTAAACATTGAATAATAATCACAATTAGTGATGTAAATTATCAATAAACAAAGTATTCAATTGTTATGATACTACGGAACTGTGTGTAGAAATCAAGTTTCAATATTAATAGATTCGAGTACAGTTTCCTTGTACGAAACTAGAGGTAATAAAAGGCTGAAATTTGATGAAAATCAATTATAATTTTGAACAAAAATAGTAAAACCTAATGCTAATTAAGCTGATTAACAAATATAATTGAAAGTGAAAAGAAAGATCGAAACTGTTGAAAATGGGAACAATTAACTGTAAAATGAAACAAATGAGATGTGAAAACCATAACAGAATTTAGCAATTAACATCAAATACTTTGTAATGATTAGAGACTTTGTTAAAAGGAAAAGATTAGATTATTTTAAATCATACCTGTTAATGAGGATGCGAGGGAGTCACTAATCACTATTTTAATTGATTGTAATCAACATCATTCACATTGTAATCACTATGAAGGTAACATTGATTTTTCCTGTTTGGTTTAATTGTTAACCTTGATTTAGTTCCAGGTGAGAAAAACATTAATGATGAACCACAATTGGATATAATTACAGGAACAATTAAAGGTAAATCAGTTGACTTTCGTGGATCTAAAATCTATCAGTTTCTAAATATTCCGTTTGCTGAACCTCCAATAAATGACCTTCGTTTTAAAAAGCCGATACCAAAGAAACCCTGGAGAGGAGTAATAGACACCAACCAGTGGGGATCCTATTGTATTCAGAATCTTTATCCTGGTTTCAATACTAAATACAAGTTTGATGAAGATTGTCTTGTGTTGAATGTTTTCGTGACTCAATCCGCTATTAGGGATAAACAACAAGATGATGTTAGTCGACTAAGACCCGTTCTGGTTTGGTTTCATGGCGGAGGCTTTAATTTTGGTTCAGCAAATGTGCCTGAGTTTTACGATGGAACCGTTTTAGCAGCTCTTCATGATGTTATTGTGGTTACTGTTAACTATCGTCTGGGTCCTCTTGGTTTCTTGTATCTACCTGAATCAGATATTCCTGGAAACATGGGTCTTTGGGATCAAAAATTAGCATTACAATGGGTAAAGAAAAATATCAATTCTTTTGGTGGTGATTCTGATAGTGTGACTATTTTTGGTGAATCGGCTGGATCAATGTCTGTCTCTGCACATATTGTATCTCCACAATCGAGAGGATTATTTAAAAATGCCATCATGCAAAGTGCATCGATTTACGATCTAGATCGTTGGACAATCAAAGATTTAAATACAAAATTTTCAAAGCCATTGGATGTCAACCGGGTGTCAATATTTCTTCATGTTTATCGTTGTACCAACCACTCAAATCACAAGTAACCAATGATCTCATGTTCTGGCCAATATCAGGAGATGAATTTTTACCTTCTAATCCCGAGTCTATTGTTTCAAGTGGAGGTGTTGATCCAAATATTAACGTTCTATTAGGAACTGTTGGTAATGAAGGAGCTTTTATGTTGATACTCAAAGATCCGATTACTTTCCATCCAATTAATCCATTGAATTTAACTTTACCTCATGCAAAGTATATTTTTGGAAAACTTTTTGGTAAATCGCTGATAAATTACTATTCTGATAGATATCTGGTTAATGTAGATCCAAATGATTCTGATAATATACGATTAGCTGTTAGTCAAGCTCTAGGAGATACAATTCTCACTTGTCCGACTTATGCTTTCGGTAGAGATTTAGTTAATTCTGGATTAACTAATGTGTATGCTTACTATCAATCTCAACGACCATCTCAGTCACTGCTTCCAATTGCAACGCCAAGTAAATGGTTACCTGCAACTCATGGTGATTGTATCCCAATGGTCTTTGGTCTCCCTCTTTTGAGACCAGAAAATTACACTATCGATGACACAATATTGTCCATGATCATGATGGATGCTTGGGTTACCTTTGCTCGTGAAGGGTGAGTACGAGTGAATTGTTTTTCTAATATTTACGAAGGATAATTAATTCGGTACTTTCGAAAATCTAACTATTTCAAGCGTGAGAATCATAAGCAGCCATGGACATAGATTATGAATGTTCTCAATTTATTATTAATTGATTTCGGATAGTTAATGTAATACTTGTTCAATTGAATTAATTTTATACTTTTTCCCCAGTAAACCTCCGCCAATAGGTCAACAGTTATGGTCGCCTTGGAATAATGATTCTCATAAGACAATAACATTCGATGCAAATAAAATTGGTCAAACTGAATCTCAACCCATTGAATTTTGCTTAAAACATTGGCCTTTCCCGCTTGAAAGCCAATATCCATTAACGTTCGAACCTGGTAAGATAATTAAAATATCGAAAGTTATAGTTTTAACTTTTCAATTAATTTATTTTCTCATTTTATTTAACAGGAGCATTTTCCAAGATCGACGATCACGAACGTAGTGACCTTTAATTATCAGTCTAAATGAATCTTACTTCCCAATGCTATTGGATTGTAGATATTTTCTACTTTACTATGATTGATTGGATAAAAATTAGCAATTCAATGCATTTAAAGTTTTGATTATTCCACCAAACGGATAACGACACGTTATTAAATTAGTTCAAAAAGACTAAGAAATATCGTCCGATTATTGAATACTAGTGATGTTTTTGGTTCTAAATATCTAATTATATTGTCGAAAGCTACTAGGATCGTGAAACAAACTTGGAGCAAAATATTCAGCAATAACTAGAACAATTATAATAATTAGAGCAATTACATAAATTATCACGATACTAATTAATTGATAAACGAATTGAGAAAAAAGATAAGTTAGTAAATTAAAGATATTTTTCAAAAGTTCGTGAAGTTTGGATAAAATTTCAATCTTTTTACAAAGATACAAAGATAATAGATAAGATTGTAAGGGGTGATCACTAAAAAACCGGACTAACGTTGTTCACTAATAGCGTTGAAACGGTTAATAGCAAAAATGTCCAAAATATATCGAATTGATGCTAAGGAATCAGTTAATCAGTATGGCAAGTTTTATTGAAATTAAACAATCAATTAAAAAGTTGTGGTCTAAATTTGAGAGTTTTTTGTAAATTTGATGCCAATTAAACATCACGAATAATAAACGATAGACCAGCAAAAAATATAGTCAACATGATTGTGAAGAGAGTTGAGAAAAAATTAGGACCAATTAAAGTTGATTTGAAAAATTTGAAGCCAATGTCATGACGAGTGACCCGATGGATGAACATGATCAACTGTGACAATAAAGAAAGAGAAAAATCAATCAAATCAAAAGAAAATTAGTTGTCATCTGAATTTACCTCAAACTTCATATCAGCTGATTCGTTGAATAGAGTTAATTTGTACAAATCATTGAGACAAAGATAAGATTTGATGTTAATCTGAATTAAACTGAAAGTCATGTGCAGAATTACACTCGGGCCGATGTAATGTGAGATTATTGATGATAAATGCCGATCGAAAATATAATCATTGATGATTAGTTGATAAGAAGCGCAAATGAGACAAATAGCAAAGTAAAGATAAACGATCGATACGAAAACACCCAAAGTTCGTGCGAGATAATCGGTTAATTTGATGGTCTCACTGTAAATACGACGAATCTTTTTAATCTCTTGTAAATTTGGACCTTTTTCAACTTGAATTGAGATCAAATGATTAATGTAATTAAACGAAGCTGTGATCAGTATCGTCGAATCGACAAGTAAACAGAAATGGAGACAGCAAAAAAATGTCACAATTAGAATTCGATAGATTAGTCTGTACATAACTTGAATGAATGAAATCCAATCAGTCGGAAGAGGAAGTTGATCTCTTATCATCCATGAGATCACGATGATCAAGAAGAACATGAAGAATATGATCTTGAACCGAAACCTTTTTCTAAACACGAAACTATTATTAAACTGGTTCGAAGGCAGTTCGATATTCAACCAGAGTTGATGAATTTCGTTCATTATTGAATCACGAAAAGTCCATTGGTGAGTAATAAGAATGTAGAATAGAATTATATCTTCAGCCAGGAATCTGATGAATAGAACTCGTTGAGAATCAAATGTGAACGTGAAATGAATAAATGTCTGATCGTAAATGGTTTGACCGATCAGAACCATTAGAATAATATTCCAACAAAGTTTTCTTTTCATTGAACATTTACTGAAAAAGAAAAACAATGGAAGATGCATTTGAACATAAGCAGGCGAAACATTCTCACCCTGGTCCATCATGGAATCGACTTGAAATGAGAATAATTCAATAATTGGAAATCAGTTTACCGAGAGAATTCTAATCAAATCGATATTTTAACCCTCTAAGATTGAGCCAGTTCACAGCAAGAAAATCAAGTGATTAATTGTCCTGATAAAGGTCAGTTGATTAAAGAATGGCCAGTTTGACGATTATCATTTAATTGACTTTTTTATTCAATAAAAATAGTAACAGAAAAATTTCTTACAATTGGTTTAGCTCAACATTGGGAAAAACATTCAAACAGTCGTTTTATTATAACAATTGCACTTAATTGTGAGACTTTTACAGGTTACTTTGATTAATGATTGAGTTAATTGTTCGTGGGTCAATAACATATCATTGGAAATAATTAATTTAGTCATGGGATGAATGTACGTATCGAGCGTTTGGCATAAAATTAGAAAATTATCAATACTCATCGCAAAAGTTGCGATGATAGCATGTGGTAACTGAAAACTTTTCAATAATCCTTTGTCTAGTATCCAAGTAGATTATAGCCATTCGAAGCTAATTTTTTATGGTCAATAAACCGATTTAAACAAGAAAACATTGTCAAAGCCTTAGAAGCTTTTATGGGACAATCGAATGAACCAATTAAATCTCCGATTGCATTAGAAAGTATTTCATCGAAGACATTGTTAGATAATCCAATTTGATTCAATATTGTGATCAAAGGTTTATTCAGATAAGCTTGACGTTGACAATGACAAGTCTTACTACTCTATGTTCACAACTAAAGGATCACAAGAGATTCCACATGAGAGGGAAAAGTAGAAGGAAAAAAGAACCGCGAATTTCGATTAACTTTAAAGTTTCGAAAAAAAATCGCATTTCCACTCAAATAGATGCTGTTTATTAATCAGATTTTAAGGATGTAACTTGTATGATTGAATGAAGATAAAATCAGTTTTAATTAACTTTAAAGTTACGAAAATTTACCGAAATTGACTCTATTTTTTTATCACATTCGAAGGACTCAATAGTAAAATTTTGTTCGACTTGATCGAAATTACATTCATGATTACCAAGTTAGTTGTGAAGTTTGTCGATTGTTTTTCTTTTGCAAGAAATCCAACTAGATTCAGTATTTGCTTGAACTAAAATTCCATTTAAAAAGATCTGAGAAATCGAAGTTCCAAGATATCGCAGCGCTTGTGCTGTTATAAATCCATGTTCTTTGAATAATCTTTTTTGAACAATTCGTTCGATGAAATCAGTTCCAAATCGAACATCGTCCAAAAATTGGGTAAAGTCTTTTCCAGTGATGTCATATCTCCGAATGGAGAACGGACCACATGATGTATAAGATTTATCATCATCTTGAAAATAGACGATAATAATACTATTTAGATTAACCCTTTCAAATATAAATTTTGTTCTGGACGGTGTTGGAGGCAGATAGAGCGTTCGGTTTGGTGTGAGAATTATTTTCTTAACTAACTGATAATTTCGATTGACGCTTCTTTCGTGAGTATCATTTTTTAGACTGTGAAAAAGTGCAACAAAATCAGTTAAAGTATTTGTAACTTCACCATGGACGATTTGTTCGAAAAATTGGTAAAGAACTTCAGTTAGAAGTTTTTCTTGGCCATCATCCAGTTTCGATTGAATAAAGAGGTAGAAAAGTTCTTTTGTACCATTAATGTAAAGATCGTCTTTAAATGCATATGAAAGCGAGGTGATACATTCTAGAGCGTATTTCACCTCGAATGGAAAATTGTTATCGAAAAGTTTATCAGAATAGTCGACACAATAAGTAGAAATTGGACTGAACACAAAGTGACGAGAGTTATCGAAAAAATTTGAATACATGACCTTTAAAATTTTAGCATATTCACGATAATCGGAGGAATCAGTTTTAATTTTAATCATAAAAGTGTTGCTTTTACCAATTGTTTCCGCTGAAATTATTGCATACTCAGGCCGGGCGATTGAATGATCGTTACCGATAAATTCCTCATTAACACTTTCAATGTAAAGTTTAGGTGGAAATTTAAGTCGAAAGTAAAACTCAATTCCATCATTCAGACTGGTTATGATTTCGGCGACACTATCAGGTTGGAACGTGAGTTTGCATCTTTTATCTTCGTAGGTCGATGTAACGGGATCATAGTAATTGATCTTGAATTGAACTTTAAACGTTCCCTTGTTCTGAATAACAATATCCTTGAAAATTTTACAATTTGATGTGGTATGTTCAACGTTGAATTTTGACCCAAGGTCATTGAGATGTGTTACAAAACGGTTATCATTGATTAGATTACCGAACGTAAATGAAATAACATCCAAAGTTGTTGGTGTTATAGTACTAGAATCACATAATTTGTCCAATGTATCGACATCGAATTGCCAGAAAATATCAAATCCATCATCATTCGACATTGCCTGCATGAACGATTGTATCATTTCGCCCGCAAAAATATGTTCGATTACGGACAAAACAGCCGAAATAATGAAAGAATTGTTATTGGTCAAGAACTGAATAAATTTACGATTCACATCACTTTTTCTGCGATTAATTGGATTAACTTTAAATTCACCACCATTAAAGCAATATAAATCATCCAATTTAGCTGATATTGGATTAATAAAAGCCAATGTACGGGCGATTTGGCCAAGAAAAGCGGGAATATCGGCCTCTCGTAACATTCCATCATAAAATATGGGAGTCAGTTGAAAATTTACTTTGATATTATCATCGTTTATGGTTTTGACGCTTAAGGCCATGATGTTCAAACAGATTAACAAATCTATAAGATTTATTATGTTGAAAAGTAGAGAAACTAAAGCAGTAATGTAAGCATTTATTAATAGAATTAAATCAAAGGGTAGTTTTACTACTGTAACAAGGAAGAGAGACTATTACCTAGTGCACAATTTCACAACAATTACTTTAATCATCGACCAATCAACAATTAAGAAACAAGCAAAGAGTAAAAACCTACTTTCTACTCTTTGAAACCAAATTTAAACCTAATCAACTCTCGTAACTTCAACAACACAATGACTTTGAAATGAACCAAGTTAAACAGGTTAGATTATCAGTAAAATCAACGATTAAATTGTTGGGCAATTTTCAAATATTCAAATAAAAAGAGTAACAATTAACAGATTAATATTTGAAAAATTTTCGTTTTAATGATAACAACCAATGGAAAAAAGATAATTAAAAACAATGACAAGTTAAAAATATTTACAGGTAAAAACAATAATGAGGAAATAAAAACATTCAAGATTAATCATTTTCATGATGAATTAAACTTGAGCTTCTATAATGATTCCTTCCATGAATAATTCAGTTAGAGATGACCCATGATATTTGTATGAATTTTTCGATAATAAGCCATGTTCACCAAAAAGTTTTCGACCGATCAGCTGTTTGAGGAAAAAAGTTCTACAATTGGAATCTTTTATCTGATTGGCGAAATCAGATTCTCCAAATCCTTCGGATAAATAGGGATAAGGTGAGCTACATGCATGCGAATGATCATCATCTCTTAGATGAACTTTAATTAGACGTGAAAGGTCAGAATTTGCCGAGATGAATTTAGTTTCAGATGATGAAGGTGGAAGAAAATTGTTCTCATGGTGTTATTATTCGTTTCATACACTGAATTTTATCTTCGGTTTTCTGGCTAACTTCAGTTTCCTCGCCGATTGTTTTCACAAGAGCGTTTAAACTTTCGAAAGCATCAAGAACATCGGGATTACCATAGAAATAGGAATTACAGATCATTGAGACAGAGTTAAGATTTGACAACAGGATAATCAAGTGATTAATTGTCCTGATAAAGGTTAGTTGATTAAAGAATGGGCAGTTTGACGATTATCATTTAATTGACTTTTTTATTCAATAAAATAGTAACAGAAAATTTCATACAATTGGTTTAGCTCAACATTTGGAAAAACATTTAAACAATCGTTTTATAATAACAATTGCGCTTAATTGTAAGACTTTACAGGTTACTTTGATTGATGATTGAGTTAATTGTTCGTGTATCTATAACAGATCATTGAAATAATTAATTTGGCTAAACGATACTATAGCCACCTCTTTGATTGTCCTGAAGTTTTCGTGGTTGAAACCACTCATATGTGTACTATGAATTTGCGGAAATGTCCAGTTACAGGGCTTCAATAACAGAAATTTGCATTGAGCTCAATGGGATAATTCTTGATTTTGCTGAATGGGTACTCAATCAATCTTATTTTAAATCATACCTGTTGATGAGGATGCGAGGGAGTCACTAATCACTATTTGAATTGATTGTAATCAACTTCATTCACATTGTAATCACTATGAAGGTAACATTGATTTTTTTCCTGTTTGGTTTAATTGTTAACCTTGATTTAGTTCCAGGTGAGAAAAACATTAATGGTGAACCACAATTGGATTTAATTACAGGAACAATTAAAGGTAAATCAGTTGACTTTCGTGGATCTAAAATCTATCAGTTTTTAAATATTCCGTTTGCTGAACCTCCAATAAATGACCTTCGTTTTAAAAAGCCGATACCAAAGAAACCCTGGAGAGGAGTAATAGACACCAACCAGTGGGGATCCTATTGTATTCAGAATCTTTATCCTGGTTTCAATATAAAGTTTGATGAAGATTGTCTAGTGTTGAATGTTTTCGTGACTCAATCCGCTATTAGAGATAAACAACAGGATGACAATAGGCGATTGAGACCCGTTCTGGTTTGGTTTCATGGCGGTGGCTTTAATTTTGGTTCAGCAAATGTGCCTGAGTTTTACGATGGAACCGTTTTAGCCGCTCTTCATGATGTTATTGTGGTTACTGTTAACTATCGTCTTGGTCCTTTGGGTTTCTTGTATCTACCTGAATCAGATATTCCTGGAAACATGGGTCTTTGGGATCAAAGGTTAGCATTACAATGGGTAAAGGATAATATCAATTCTTTTGGTGGTGATTCTGATAGTGTGACTATTTTTGGTGAATCGGCTGGATCAATGTCTGTCTCTGCACATATTGTATCTCTACAATCCAGAGGATTATTTAAAAATGCCATCATGCAAAGTGCATCGATTTACGATCTAGATCGTTGGACAATCAAAGATTTAAATACAAAATTTTTCAAAGCCATTGGATGTCAACCGGGTGTCAATATTTCTTCATGTTTACTAACTTTTAAAAACTTTTTGGTAAATCGCTGATAAATTACTATTCTGATAGATATTTGGCTAATGTAGATCCAAATGATTCCGATAATATACGATTAGCTGTTAGTCAAGCTCTAGGAGATACAATTCTCACTTGTCCGACTTATGCTTTCGGTAGAGATTTGGTTAATTCTGGATCAACTAATGTATATGCTTACTATCAATCTCAACGACCATCTCAGTCACTGCTTCCAATGGCAACGCCAAGTAAATGGTTACCTGCAAGTCATGGTGATTGTATCCCAATGGTCTTTGGTCTTCCTCTTTTGAGACCAGAAAATTACACTATCGATGACACAATATTGTCCATGATCATGATGGATGCTTGGGTTACCTTTGCTCGTGAAGGGTGAGTACGAGTGAATTGTTTATCTAATATCCACGAAGGATAATTAATTCGGTACTTTCGAAAATCTAACTATTTCAAGCGTGAGAATCATAAGCAGCCATGGACATAGATTATGAATGTTCTCAATTTATTATTAATTAATTTCGGATAGTTAATGTACTTGTTCAATTGAATTAATTTTATACTTTTTCTCCAGTAAACCTCCGCCAATAGGTCAACAGTTATGGTCGCCTTGGAATAATGATTCTCATAAGACAATAACATTTGATGCAAATAAAATTGGTCAAACTGAATCTCAACCCATTGAATTTTGCTTAAAACATTGGCCTTTCCCGCTTGAAAGCCAATATCCACTAACGTTCGAACCTGGTAAGACAATTACAATATCGAAAGTTATAGTTTTAACTTTTCAATTAATTTATTTTCTCATTTTATTTAACCGGAGCATTTTCCAAGATCGACGATCACGAACGTAGTGACCTTTAACTATCAGTCTAAATGAATCTTACATCCCGATGATATTGGATTTGTAGATATTTTCTACTTTACTATGATTGATTGGATAAAAATTAGCAAATCAATGCATTTAAATTTTTTGATTATTCCACCAAATGGATAACAACTCGTAATTAAATTAGTTCAAAAAGACTAAGAATATCGTCCGATTATTGAATCCAGATGATGTTTTTGGTTCTAAATATCTAATTATATTGTCGAAAGCTACTAGGATCTTGAAACAAACTTGGAGCAAAATATTCAGCAATAACTAGAACAATTATAATAATTAGAGCAATTACATAAATTATCACGATACTAATTAATTGATAAACGAATTGAGAAAAAAGATAAGTTAGTAAATTAAAGATATTTTTCAAAAGTTCGTGAAGTTTGGATAAAATTTCAATCTTTTACAAAGATTCAGAGATAATAGATAAGATTGTAGTAGTATGAAACCATACGCTTCTGGGCCGGAAGTGGACATCTACTTCCAGACAGACTAATTCCATCCAAAGCGTATGGGTTCAATGGCGCTGTTTTGCTTACTCAAGTTTAGAATGGTTAAAGTTATTAACGAAAGTCGAAGTCTTCAAGATAATGGTTTGGTGTTTCAAAGATTCAGAGATGAACAATTAAATTGACTGTTTGCTTAATTGTAAGTTAAACATCACGAATAATAAACGATAGACCAGCAAAAAATATAGTCAACATGATTGTGAAGAGAGTTGAGAAAAAATTAGGACCAATTAAAGTTGATTTAAAAAATTTGAAGCCAATGTCATTACGAGTGACCCGATGGATGAACATGATCAACTGTGACAATAAAGAAAGAGAAAAATCAATCAAATCAAAAGCAAATTAGTTGTCACTTGAATTTACCTCAAACTTCATATCAGCTGATTCGTTGAAGAGCGTTAGTTTGTACAAATCATTGAGACAAAGATAAGATTTAATATTAATCTGAATTAAACTGAAAGTCATGTGTAGAATTACACTTGGACCCATGTAATGTGAGATTATTGATGATAAATGCCGATCGAAAATATAATCGTTGATGATTAGTTGATAAGAAGCGCAAATGAGACAAATAGCAAAGTAAAGATAAACGATCGATACGAAAACATCCAAAGTTCGTGCGAGATAATCGGTTAATCTGATGGTCTCACTGTAAATACGACGAATCTTTTTATCTCTTGCAAATTTGGACCTTTTTCAACTTGAATTGAGATCAAATGATTAATGTAATTAAACGAGGCTGTGATCAGTATCGTCGAATCGACAAGTAAACAGAAATGGAGACAGCAAAAAAATGTCACAATTAGAATTCGATAGATTAGTCTGTACATAACTTGAATGAATGAAATCCAATCAGTCGGAAGAGGAAGTTGATCTCTTATCATCCATGAGATCGCGATGATCAAGAAGAACATGAAGAATATGATCTTGAACCGAAACCTTTTTCTAAACACGAAACTATTATTAAACTGGTTCGAAAGCAGTTCGATATTCAACCAGAGTTTTTCTAGAATGTACATCAAATACATATCAACATCTCCATTGAGTTGAAAGTTGACAAGAATTTGGAATAGGAATAAGAATTTGTTCAAGAGTTTATTTCAATCAATAAATTCCTTAAAATATTTTCGAAAGAAACATTTAAATGTTTCTCGTCTTTAAAATTCGATTGGAAAACTTCAAGTGAAAATCCGATTCTCCCAATACCAAGAGAATTCGCATTAGGTGGGGCAGGAATAGACATTAAGAATATATTTTCGTTATTAATACAAATGAATAAACATTTAAATTAATTGAATTAATCACATTCAATGAAAGAGAGATAACAATCAAATGAAACCGTTAATTACAACTTATGAATCAAAAGAGATTTCACATGAGAGGGAAAAAGTATAGAAAAGAAGTGCGAGTTTCGATTAACTTAAAGTTTCGAAAAAATCGAAAAATCGTATTTCCAGCAAAATCGATTCTATTTATCAGAATTTAGGGATTAAATTTGTAAGATGGAATGAAGACAAAATCAGTTTCAATTAATAATCAACTTAAAGGTTCAAAAATTGACCGAATCTGTCGAATGTTGTTTAGCAGAAATTCCAACTAGATCCTGTATTTGCTTGAACTAGAATTCCATATGAAAAGATCTGGGAAATGGAAGTACCAAGATATCGCAGCGGTTGTGCTGATATAAATCCATGTTCTTTGAATAATCTTTTTTGAACAACTCGTTCGATGAAATCAGTTCCAAATCGAACATCGTCCAAAAATCGTGTAAAGCCTGTTCCAGCGATGCCATATTTCAGAATGGAGTATGGCTCACATGATGTATAAGATATATTATCCTCTCGAAAATAGACGATAATCATACGATTAAGATTAATCGTCTCAATCATGAATTTTGTTCTAGACGGTGTTGGGGGCAGATAGAGCGTTCGGTTTGGTGTGAGAATTATTCTCTTAACTAACTGATGATTTAGATTGACGCTCCTTTCGTTAGTATCATCTTTTAGATTGTTAAATAGGTTAACAAAATCAGTAAAAGTATTTGTAACTTTACCAAAGACAATTTGTTGAAAAATTGGTAAAGAACTTCAGTTAAAAGTTTTTCTTGGCCATCATTCAGTCTCGATTGAATAAAATTGTAGAAAGATTCTTTTGTACCATTAATGTAAAGATCGTCTTTAAATGCATATGAAAGCGAGGTGATACATTCTAGAGCGTATTTCACCTCGAATGGAAAATTGTTATCGAAAAGTCTATCAGAATAGTCGACAAAATAAGTAGAAATCGGACTGAACACAAAGGGATGAAATTTCGTGAAAAATCTTGAATACATGACCTTTAAAACTTTAGCATATTCACGATAATCGGCGAAATCAGTTTTAATTTTAACCATTAAAGTGTTACTTTTACCAATTTTTTCCGCTGAAATTATTGCATCCTCAGACCGGGCGATTGAATCATCGTCACCGATAAATTCCTCATTTACACTTTCAATGTAAAGTTTAGGTGGAAAGTCAAGTTTAAAGTAAAACTCAATCCCATCAGTCAGACTGGTTATGATTTCGGTGACACTATCAGGTTGGAACGTGAGTTTGCAACTTTTATCTTCGTAAACCGATGTAACGGGATCATAGTAATTTATCTTGAATTGAACTTCAAACGTTCCTTTGTTCTCAATAACAACATCTTTGAAAATGTTACAATTTGATGTGACACTTTCACCGTTGAATTTTGACCCAAGGTCATTGAGATGTGTAACAAAACGATTATAATTGATTAGATTACCGAACGTAAATGAAACTGCATCCAAAGTTGTTGATGTTATACCAGAAGAATTACATAATTTGTCCAATGTAGCGACATCGAATTGCCAGATAATATCAAATCTATCAACATTCGACATTTCACGCATAAGCGATGGTGTCAATTGGTCTGGATAAATATTGTCAATTCGTTCCACAACAGCCGAAATAATGAAAGAATTGTTATTGGTCAAGATCTGAATAAATTTATGATTCACATCACTTTCTTTGTCACAAGTTGGATTAACGATGAATTCATCGCCATCAAAACAATATAAATCATCCAATTTAGCTGATATTGTATTGATAAAAGCTAATGTACTGGCGATTTGGCCAAGAAAATCGGAAATATTGGCCTCTTGTAACATCCCATCATTGAATATGGGAGTCAGTTTAAAATTAACGTTGATATTATCATTTGTGGTATTGACATTTAAGGCCATGATGTTCAAAGAGATTAACACTGGATTAAGAAATCTATAAGATTTATTATGTTGACAGCAGAAAAACTAAAGCATCAATGTAAGCAATTAGAATTAAATCAAAGGGTAGTTTTACTACTGTAGCAAGGAAGAGAGACTATTACCTAGTGAACAATTTCACAACAATTAATTTAATCATCGACCAATCAACAATTAAGAAACAAGCAAAGATAAAGAGACTTCAGTAGTGTTCACACTTAGAGCAAGAAAAGCGACACCTACATAACTGAAAGGGTTAATTTCTTTGTGAACTAATCTCGTAGGTTAATCCAATACTAATTGCATTAATCCGCTAGGGGGAGACTGTGAAACAGTAGTTGCTCTAAGTGAGTTGCTAGCCTAGAGGTTAGTGTCGTGGACTCTAGTCCACGATGACACGGGTTCAATCCTGGCTTGCCTACCCATCTGAAAATTGTAAACCCCCCAATTCAAAAATGTTGTAAACAAACTGTAATGGTCTAGAGATGCGCCATTAAGCTCTCTAATCGCCCAATAGGGCCAAAAACAATAAAATCTAAGTGTGAACACTACTGTTTCTACTCTTTGGAACCAAGTGTAAACCTAATCAACTCTCGTAACTTCATCAACACAATGACTTTGAAATGAACCAAGTTAAACAGGTTAGATTATCAGTTAAATCAACGATTAAATTGTTGGGCAATTTTCAAATATTCAAATAAAAAGTGTAACAATTAACAGATTAGTATTTGAAAAATTTTCGTTTTAATGATAACAACCAATGGAAAAAGATAATTAAAACAATGACAAGTTAAAAATATTTACAGGTAAAACAATAATGAGGAAATAAAACATTCAAGATTAATCATTTTCATGATGAATTAAACTTGAGCTTCTACAATGATTCCTTCCATGAATAATTCAGTTAAAGATGACCCATGATATTTGTATGAATTTTTCGATAATAAACCATGTTCACCGAAAAGTTTTCGACCGATCAGCTGTTTAAGGAAAAAAGTTCTACACTTGGAATCTTTTATCTGATTGGCGAAATCAGATTCTCCAAATCCTTCGGATAAATAGGGATAAGGTGAACTACATGCATGCGAATGATCATCATCTCTTAAATGAACTTTAATCAGACGTGAAAGGTCATTGCCGAGATGAATTTAGTTTCAGATGATGAAGGTGGAAGAAAAATTGTTCTCATGGGTGTTAATATTATTCGTTTCATACACTGAATTTTATCTTCGGTTTTCTGGCTAACTTCAGTTTCCTCGCCGATTGTTTTCACAAGAGCGTTTAAACTTTCGAAAGCATCAAGAACATCAGGATTACCATAGAAATAGGAATTACAGATCATTGAGACAGAGTTAAGATTTGACAACAGGATAATCAAGTGATTAATTGTCCTGATAAAGGTTAGTTGATTAAAGAATGGGCAGTTTGACGATTATCATTTAATTGACTTTTTTATTCAATAAAATAGTAACAGAAAATTTCATACAATTGGTTTAGCTCAACATTTGGAAAAACATTTAAACAATCGTTTTATAATAACAATTGCGCTTAATTGTAAGACTTTTACAGGTTACTTTGATTGATGATTGAGTTAATTGTTCGTGTATCTATAACAGATCATTGGAAATAATTAATTTGGCTAAACGATACTATAGCCACCTCTTTTGATTGTCCTGAAGTTTTTCGTGGTTGAAGCCAATACTCATATGTGTACTATGAATTTGCGGAAATGTCCAGTTACAGGGCTTCAAAAACAGAAATTTGCATTGAGCTCAAATGGGATAATTCTTAATTTTGTTGAATGGGTACTCGATCAAACGTGGGGAGGCTATAGCATAATCTTACCATTAATTTAGTCATGAGATGAATGTACGTATAAAGCGTTTGGCATAAAATTAGAAAAGTATCAATACTCATCGCAAAAGTTGCGAAGTTAACAGTTAAGTAAATGGAATTGGCAGAGTTAAAATTTGGTTTGATTTTCTTACGTTAATCTAAAAAATATTGTCTTCATTTCCCTTCATTATGATGTAATTGTGAATTGTGATCAGAGTTTGACAAATGAAAACTGATACACCAGATCCACGAATTGAAAGAGTGAAATGTTCATCGGTGTCTCTCGATTTAAAATGGACAATTCTAACACGATGAGATATTTGTTTCAGATTTTCCTTGAAAATTTCGATTTCTTCATCAATCATAGTTTCATCTTCGACTAAAACTCGATAATTTGAATTGACCCAATAATCTGGAACTTTACTCGATTCAATGCCATCACAATATGTACTTTCTAGGACAAGGAATGTCATCAATCCTATTAAATCATTAGTAGAATCGAATAAATTATTTTCGAAATCAAATAGTTGCCGCTTTTTTTCGATTAAAGCAAAGATTTCATTCAATATGTCACAGGGCGATTCTCTCTTTCGCTTTTTAGAAACATAAATATTTGCGATGTCTGAGAACAAAATTTCTAAAAAGAAAACAATTCTTGTCACATCGCTTTTGGTGGCATCCATCTTATTTAGATGCGAAGTACACCAATCTCGTAATCGTGACAAACATAATTCAGACGTTTCGTGATTTTCTGTGAATGTTCCATTAAATCCTCCTTTCCTCGACGGTGGGTCAATTTCGGTGACAAGAGGAGCATCCGATTTTTTATCAGATAAAGATAAAAGTTTAATGAGATGTTCGGAATACTTTCCTATCCAAGGAAGTCCATAGAAGCGCTTATTCGATTTACTCTTTTTAAATGTCACTTCGTAATAAGCGGAAGCTTTTGCGAGAACAGCTTCTTCATATTCTTCACTTTCCTTGTCCATTCCATCAAATTCACTATAAAAAGTGTCTTCCATTTTTTTAACCAATAGATGATTAATTATGTAGATTATAGTTTCTTGGCGATCATTAGCACGTTTCAAAGGAACTTCAATGAATCTTTCGCAACCAGAATTCCCTGAAATCTGGTTGAGAAGTTCAGCTTCTGTTGTGAATTCGCTCATTTCTAAGATACAAGTAACGATAGAACAATAAGACTCATAAGCTTCCGTTGCTTGTTTGGCATACTTTTTGCTTCCGCTTCGTATGAGTCTAGGATCGAGAGTTTGATCAATGAGTTTACGTTCAACTGTTCTCGCAAGGAAAAGTTTGTAAATGAAAACAATCCGATAGATATATCCCAAAGCTCTTGCAGAAAGATAACTCGGTGTGACTCCCAAATGCAAAGAATGATCAGGAGCTCTTTTGTATCTTTCTTCGTCCAATAAATTGGTAATGATTCCCGTCTTGACAGAATCAAGCGCTATGGAATATTTCAAGGCCAAATCTCTGCATATTTGGGATTTAATTCCATCGGAAAGCATATCAGCCCAAACGCTATGCGAACTTGCGATTCGACCAACTACACCGCCTTGAATATAATTCGTGAAAAATTCAACGATTTCCTTGTCAATTTTACTTTCATCAAAAGTTTCTGAACTTCCTACATCCGGAAAGTTCATGGGTTCAGAATGTTGAATCTCTCTGTAAATGGTTGACCATGTTGCCCAAAACTCATCACCATCGCAATCAGATCCTGCCATTTCATCAGCATGAGGACGAGGACCATCAACAGGAAAAACACAATCACGGATACCATGTAATTCTGGTATATCAATTGCTTTCAATTCTAATACATCACCCGGATCCATACAAGGAAATTTAGTGACATTAACTTCACCAGTCAAAGGTTTATCCGAATCACTTGGAAAAATGAAAACTTGTCCATATTTCAATAACCCTTTTCCTAGTCCATTACTTTTCGACGTGGCATCGGTTAGGAACTTTTCTGTCGTTTCATCAAAAAACAACGATTTCTTTGGGCCTCCAGGCGTCGAGTAAATTAGTTCATCATTTTTATCGAAAATCTTGATCAAGTTGGAATCTGGATCATCACTGTCACTTGTAGGCACAACTACATAAGGTAAATAATAAGTTGCAGTTGGGTCAGCGACCCCAAACAATGTTCGAGCAGTGTTGAAATCTAATGGGATTCGAGCCTTTTGTTGAATAATATCAAGACCATGGTGGAAAACAAGCTGAAGAGAATTTCGGAAAAAGTAGTCTCCAAGTAGATTATAGCCATTCGAAGCTAATTTTTTATGGTCAATAAACCGATTTAAACAAGAAAACATTGTCAAAGCTTTAGAAGCTTTTATGGGACAATCGAATGAACCAATTAAATCTCCGATTGCATTAGAAAGTATTTCACCGAAGACATTGTTAGATAATCCAATCTGATTCAATATTGTGACCAAAGGTTTATTCAGATAAGCTTGACGTCGATCAGCGATCTTAACGATTCCAAGTTGACCAGGCTTCGAATCAATTTTTCGCATACCTAAAAGTAGAAACCATTAGTTGAATTGATCGATTGGTTGTTCAATTGTGGACTTACTTTCTCTCAACACGATGACTTTTCCTTTCAACTTTTCACCCAAACTAATCATTCCTTTACATCCGAAATAGCGAATTTGATAAGCTGTTGGCATTTTCATTTCTTTATCCGGATTCACCTTAATTGAACCTTTCGCTTTCAACTCTGACCAAATATATTCAGCGAGCTGAGGGGACATGAGACCACAGCCATCGGTAAATGTGTATGGATTCTTAGAATCAGGATGTTTCCCGCCTTCAATATCTTTGGTGTATCGAACCTCAACATCTTTCATGTCAATAAAGGCCATAGATTGAGTGAGACTAAGACCATCTCGAGCTAATTTCTTCGAGATCCCTTTTGCTTTGCACGAACCAATTTCCTCTCTAATTTTCGCTGCATCACGACCCATTGTATCCTCGGCATAAAGTACCAAACCATGATCACGAAGCTGTGATGAAGAAGCACCAAAAATACGATAATTTCTACCGGCAACATTGAGGCTTGGTAGAAGACGAGCACCAATACATTCATTAAGGAAATAATATCCTGGCGATGGAAGTTTAGATTCGGGGTCTTGTGATTTTTTACGCTTTTCTTCAGCATCGATATCTTCCTTCTTTCGCGTGACAGCAAATCCTAAATCATTCATATTCTCATCTCTAAAACTGACTCTCAACACGTAGTCTTTATCCGCAGCCTCAAGGAATTGCGATGATTGAAACGTCAATTCTGGTAAAATTAGTTTTCTCGTCGGGGTTAATATAACTCGTCTCAATAGTTTAACGCATGAACTGGATGAAGATTTTATGTCTTTTATTGATTTCCATTCTTTCACTACTTCTGTGAGAATCACTTTCAATCTCATCAGACCAAAATCGACGTTTTTGTAAAGATACTCATAGAAAAGTCTATTCAGCGCACAGACCAACTTTTCAATATCTTTAGTTGCGATCAGACACTTAATGATACTGATAAAATGATCAATTTGATCGTTCACAGTTAAATCATCTTGGAAGGCATTTGAAACTGATTGAATACTTTGGATGGCGTAAAGTACTTTGAAAGGAAAATTGTCAATCGGTAGATCAACAGGTCGATGCTCGATGACTTCGATAAAACCAATTGAAACTTCCAATTCTGAGTAATGACGCCAAATAAGAAATTTAGACACAAGATCAATAAAATGCGTGCGATTATCATCGAGTGGAAGATGCAACACCAAAGTAGAACTTTTGCCAATACAATCAGACGTAATATATTCACAGTCGTGCCAACGAGTCCAAAATCCTGAGCCTGATTTGAAATACTGTTTAAAATTTGGATTCGAATGATAAAGCTCATAGTCGAATTTATCAAATTTACTTTTCATCATATCAATTTTCTCAGGATCCAAGTCTTCGGTGGCAATGAAAATCTTTGGTTGATAAGCTAAACGAAAGAAAACACTCGTACCAGAGACTGACCTCGAAACGATTACTTGCTTAATCGACTTGAATTCGAAGGAGAGTTTAAATTTACGAGTTAGATCCGATTCAACATTGAACTGAACTTGATACACTCCTGTATGATCATTGATTGATGATTACAACAACTGACGTTGACAGTTACTACGAAATCGATTCACTGAAACTCCATCATTCGTTGAATATATCTAACATTAACGAATGTACACTGACCTATGCTGCAACACCATTTACCACGAATGAGATGCTAATAATAATAGATCGCCCATTTGAGACTTTTGAAATGCTCAACAAATTTGGTTCCATTGATGATATTACCAAAACTGAATCCATTGATAATTATTTGTTCTGAATTCTTACTAGAACAAGAATGGAAACTATCAAAGTTTACGAAAGGTTTATCATTTCCTTTGATTAATTTCCATAGAAAACCAATTTTTCTAGAATGAGCATCAGATAGATTAACATCTCCATCGGGTTGAACGTTTGTGGACAAAGGAATCAGAGCTAAAGAAAAGATTAAAACAGAGATGATATAACGTACAGGATATTATAAAACAGAAGATGAAGCCAAAAGAGTATCCCTAATAACGGACTCTTTTTGAGATTAAAATAAGAGAGTAAAATGAAGGAATACAGACTAGAATCTTCTTAAATTCAAAAGAAATTCTATTCAATGTAAAGAGCAAATTGTAACTTGAACTCACCTGTTGATCTCGATAGGCAGTTGATTGCATTTTCTAAAAGAACTTTTGGTTGATACATATAGATGAATACTTCCCATAGACCGACATAAGATTCACTTCGAGTCTTCTCATCACTTTGGGTACTTGTTTTCAGATGGACTAATCCATTTTTTTCCCACTTGTATAGAGAATTAGTACCAGAGAGACATCTGAACTCAGCTCTTGGAGAAATTATTTCAATCAATAAATTGCTTAAAATATTTTCGAAAGAAACATTTAAATGTTTCTCGTCTTTAAAATTCGATTGGAAAACTTCAAGTGAAAATGCGATTCTCCCAATACCAAGAGAATTCGCATTAGGTGGGGCAGGAATAGACATTAAGAATATATTTTCGTTATTAATACAAATGAATAAACAATTAATCACATTCAATGAAAGAGAGATAACAATCAAATGAAACCGTTAATTAAAACTAATGAATCACAAGAGATTCCACATGAGAGGGAAAAAGTAGAAGGGAAAAAGAATAAAAAAGAAGCGCGAATTTCGATTAACTTTCGTTAATAATCAAAAATCGTATTTCCATTGAAATAGATGCTATTTATTTATCTATCAGATTTTAAGGATTAAATTATATATAATTAAATGAAGAAAAAGTCAGTTTTAATTACGAATTAACTTTAAAGGTACGAAAATTGACTCTATTTTTTTATCACATTCGAAGGACTCAATAGTAAAATTTTTTTCGACTTGATCGAAATTACATTCATGATTACCAAGTTAGTTGTGAAGTTTGTCGATTGTTTTTCTTTTGCAAGAAATTCAAGTATTAAATAGATCCTGTATTTGCTTGAACTAGAATTCCATATAAAAAGATCTGAGAAATCGAAGTACCAAGATATCGCAGTGGTTGTGCTGATATAAATCCATGTTCTTTGAATAATCTTTTTTGAACAACTCGTTTGATGAAATCAGTTCTAAATCGAACATCGTCCAAAAATTGGGTAAAGCCTTTTCCAGCGATGTCGTATCCCAGAATGGAAGATTTACCACACATTGTATAAGATTTATCATCATCTCGAAAGTAAACGATAATCATACTATTAAGATTAACCCTTTCGATCATAAAGTTTGTTCTAGACGGTGTTGGAGGCAGATAGAGAGTTCGGGTTGGTGTCAGAATTATTCTTTTAACTAACTGATGATCTCGATTGACACTTCTTTCATAAGTATTAATATCATCTTTTCGGACGTAAAAGAGCCCAACAAAATCAGTAAAAGTATTTGTAACTTTACCAAAGACAATTTGTTGAAAAAGTTGGTAAAGAACTTCAGTTAAAAGTTTTTCTTGGCCATCACCCAGTTTCGAATCAATAAAATGGTAGAAAGATTCTTTTGTACCATTAATGTAAAGATCGTCTTTAAATGCATATGAAAGTGAGGTGATGCATTCTAAAGCGTATTTCACCTCGAATGGAAAATTGTTATCGAAAAGTCTATCAGAATAGTCGACACAATAAGTAGAAATTGGACTGAACACAAAGTGACGAGATTTCTCGAAAAATGAATACATGACCCTTAAAATTCTGGCATCATTATAATGATCAGAGGAATCAGTTTTAATTTTAATCATAAAAGTGTTACTTTTACCAATTTTTTCCGCTGAAATTATTGCATCCTCAGGCCAGGCGATTGAATGGTCGTCATCATCATTGTAAAGTTTAGGTGGAAATTTAAGTTTAAAGTAAAACTCAATCCCTTCATTCAGACTGGTTATGATTTCGTTGACACTATCAGGTTGGAACGTGAGTTTGCATCTTTTATCTTGGTAGGCCGATGTAACGGGATCATAGTAGTTGATCTTGAATTGAACGTTAATCGTTCCTTTGTTCTCAATAACAACATCTTTGATAATGTTACAATTTGATGTGACATGTTCACTGTTGAATTTTGACCCAAGGTCATTGAGATGTGTAACAAAACGATTATTATTGATTAGATTGCCAAACGTAAATGAAACCGCATCCAAAGTTGTTGATGTTATATCACTAAAATCACATAATTTGTCCAATGTATCGACATCGAATTGCCAGGAAATAGCAAATCGATCATCATCATTTGACATTGATTCCATAAATGATGGTATTAGTTCCAGATAATCATGTTTGCTTCTGGACAAAACAGCCGAAATAATGAAAGATTTATTATTGGTCAAGATCTGCATAAATTTACGCTCCAAATCACTTTCGTCGTAATAAATTGGATCAAAGATAAATTCACCATCATCATAAAAATACAAATCATCCAATTTAGCTTTTATTGGTCTGAGAAACATCATTGTATCGCCGATTTGCTCAAGAAAATCGGACATATCGTCCTCTTGTAGCATTCCATCATTAAATATGGGAGTCAGTTGAAAATTAACTTTGATATTATCATCATTAATGTTATTGAAATTTAAGGGCATAATGTCCAAAGAGATTAACACTTGATTAAGAAATCTACAAGATTTATTATGTTGACAGTAGAGAAACTAAAGCAGCAATGTAAGCAATTAGAATTAAATCAAAGAGACTATTACCTGGTGAACGATTTCACAACAATTAATTTTCTTAAATCCAAAGAGAAAGAAAAAAAAAAGAGAGAGAGAGAGCAGTTTTTACTCTTTGCTTTAATCCTTAACCATTGGTTAATTGTTGATTGGTTAATAACCAAGTGTAAACTTAATCAACTCTTGTAACCTCATCGACCCAATGACTTTGAAATGAACCAAGTTAAACAGGTTAGATTATCAGTTAAATCAACGATTAAATTGTTGGGCAATTTTCAAATATTCAAATAAAAAGAGTAACAATTAACAGATTAATATTTGAAAAATTTTCGTTTTAATGATAACAACCAATGGAAAAAAGATAATTAAAAACAATGACAAGTTAAAAATATTTACAGGTAAAAACAATAATGAGGAAATAAAAACATTCAAGATTAATCATTTTCATGATGAATTAAACTTGAGCTTCTACAATGATTCCTTCCATGAATAATTCAGTTAGAGATGACCCATGATATTTGTATGAATTTTTCGATAACAAACCATGTTCACCGAAAAGTTTTCGACCGATCAGCTGTTTAAGGAAAAAAGTTCTACACTTGGAATCTTTTATCTGATTGGCGAAATCAGATTCTCCAAATCCTTCGGATAAATAGGGATAAGGTGAACTACATGCATGCGAATGATCATCATCTCTTAGATGAACTTTAATTAGACGTGAAAGGTCAGAATTTGCCGAGATGAATTTAGTTTCAGATGATGAAGGTGGAAGAAAAATTGTTCTCATGGGTGTTAATATTATTCGTTTCATACACTGAATTTTATCTTCGGTTTTCTGGCTAACTTCAGTTTCCTCGCCGATTGTTTTCACAAGAGCGTTTAAACTTTCGAAAGCATCAAGAACATCGGGATTACCATAGAAATAGGAATTGAAAAGTCGAGTCAATGCTTCAGTGACAAGGTTGGTTCTACCATCCATAACGAGAGATTCAATTAGATTGTAAAAAGCGTCCTGATTGTTATTGACAATCAGATCGTCAGCAAAGGCAAACGAAAGTGAATTAATACATTGAAGAGTATATTTTACTTCAAAGGGTAGATTACGATCAGTAGCATCTTCAACATGATCGATGCAATAATTTTCCATGGGAACACAAACAAAATTACAAGCTCGATTTCGAAAAATTGAATAAAACTCTGGAATCATGTAATCGATTAATTCATCACTATCTTCAAGTTCCATTCTTATTCGAAGTACTTTACATTTACCAATAATTTCTCGAGAAATAATTTCACAATCAGTCCATTGGTTCCAACTATTACCTTCTTTTACCAAGAATCTTGGAGGATAATCGAGTCGCAAATAGAAATCACTTGCATAATTTGCACTTGTAATTATCTCGATTATCGAAGGAAAATCAAAGATAAATTTACACCGAACATGTTTCAATTCTTGATTGGAACCAGTACAATAAGAGAGTTTAAATCTGAGAACCATTTCTTGAGTTCGATGAGATAATCTAACGGTAATATCGCTCATCAAACCGAATCTTTTTCCGATTTTGGTTTGGAAATCATTTAGATGACAAACAAAACGATTTCCATTGATCACATTACCAAAACGAAATGAGGTTACATCAAATGTAGATGAAAGTTCTTCAGATGAACGGTCAAATATACAATCAGGTCGACAACTCCAACTGATTACATGTTCGGGTATATGGCAGCAAATTGTATCGATTAGAGATAAAAATTCAGATTCATCAATTTCAAAAGTTCCATGTAGATAAACACGATGGTTTTTAGCTAATTTCTTCAAGAATTTCATTGAATTCATCTCGATTCCACTCTCATTGTCAACGAAGTGTACAACACCAGAATCGCTATTGACCTTATATTTTCCTTCAATCTCAATGTTCCGGGTTTCACAAAGGAACAAGGGATAACCGATATGTTGGAATAATGAATTAACCTCTGACTCGGTCAATTCTATACCTTTGATGGAAATGTGAATGACAAAGTTTATTTTGATAATACTCGTTTCAGAAGAGGACATGATGATTAAAGCACAATGATTAACGAAATTAACTAAAAACAATATGAACAAGAATAAGTAAAATAATCGTTAATGAATTTCACTAATATCAAAGGTCATAACGATAAATATAATCCATTAAGATGAATAATTAATACTGAAAATAAATTGTTACAATCTTCAAGTTAAATTGTATCTCAAGTGTTAACAGAAAATGATAGATGGCATAATAGTGATTCTAATTGATAATAATTGGCTGATTGTTGACAATTAAATTTACAATTAAGATGAAAAACCGCCAATTATGAATTATGGATTTTTTGCTTTTGAGACTCACAATTTTTCATCAACTGTGGCTATTCAAATGGGTGATATTTGGTGGGTTCACACCGAATACATCTAAAAATCCTATTGGACCAGGTAAATGTATCGATGGAAATGCCAAGACAAAGGTAATACAAAGGGTCAAAAGTGAGGTTACAAATGAAGGTGATATGGTGAATAGATTAGCGAAAGTTAATCCAATATCGTGACGACCCATTCGATACATGAGTAGTGAGTTCTGTATATGAGGTAAAAAGGAATGGATAAAAAGGGTTAAAAGGGTTAACACAAGTTCTCATATATATATGAGCTTATTGTTACCTCTCTGTAGTATTCAAATGTTTTATCAGCAAATGAAAGCTCGTAGACAACATTGAAATACTTTGATGCAACTGTATTGATTTTAACAGCATTAAAGGTAACAGCGGATGTCATCGAAACGCTAATGAACAGGCCGAAAATTGAGAATAAGATATCGACCAAGCTAGAGGATAAATATAGTAATCGGTAAAGTCCGACCAGCATAAATGGTACAATGGTTATGTAAACACCGGCAATATAACCATGGAGAAATTTATCAATCAATCGAACCGATTCTTCACCATAGAAATGAAATTGTCGAAGTTGTTGAATTTTATCAGTTAACGATTCCGAGTTTTTATTTACCAATAAACTATTGAGGTTTCGATTAACGTACATGAAAATAGCTTCGATGTGACTTGACACTTGTAAGAGAAAATCGGCAATCATACTTATGATGACACATTGGATGGTACTTTGGGCCAGATTGGTGAATAAAATTGTCGATAGATTTTCAAACGATTTCCAAGTTGACGGATCATCAAAATTGAAAGAAGATAGAACACTGGTCATTGCGTTTATCGCTGCAAGGGACCAAACTATTATTCGATTCATTCGACGACTTTTAATTAGAAATTCGATTGTTTCTCGGTCATTGTTTAGATCAGTTTTCGACCAGATAGAGAAAAATTGATCGAGATATGGCCATTGAAATCCAAAGATTAGAAAAAGATAGTTGTACATATTTTTAATTCCATTGAGAGTTCGCCATAAGCAAATATTGACCTCATTTGAGTTTTGGAATCGCGTAAGGTTTTTATGAATGACAGAATAAGTGAGTCCACCTTGGAAAATGGTTATCGATAATAAGATGATCTTTAAGACTCTCGAAGACTTTTTTTCTTTACTTCTAATGGTCATGAAAATACTCGATAAATGTACTTGTTGATTGGTTTCGGATTTTGGTTTCACTTTTGCTGTTTGAATACCGTCGATTCTCATGATTCTTGAACTTATTTATTATATTAACTGAACTTGATCGCAACAATTTCGAAGTGTAAGTGAACATTTCTCGAATTAATTTGTTCTTTTAATCATCTAATCAATTTATTCTCCAGACAAAGTTATCAAAGTTTTCTAAAAGCATCGGAGTTATTGTTCATTTATTATTAGTTTTTCTTTTCGTTATCGATAATGAACTTTTCCTATTAATTTTCCTTTTAACGATTTAATGGATTTACATAATTAAGTGATGATTATACATTTAAAGGATATGATTACTTAACAAATTAGATTTAGAATCCTTGATTTACACTTTTTTTCACTCGAGTTGATTAACAAATCAACGATAAGGTAAGAGTATGTTGATTAATGATCTACCTAATGATTGTTTTCTATTGATTTTCAATTGGATATTTGATGTACAAGATTTACTCAGATGTTACCAAGGTAGATTATCCAATAATCCCATGTTAATCTAATCATTAATCGTTTCTCTTTTTTCTTAATTTAGTTGATAGTAAATGGCGTCAATTGATAATCTATCGTTTAAAACGAGTAAGATACTTACAATGTAAGTAATGGATTATCTTGGAATCTTATTTTACTCTTGATATTTTATCTTCTTAGTAGGTGAAACCTTAATCCATTCAATTGATGATGAAACAATAAACTACAATTGTCACAGTGATAATTATCGTATTGATAAAGATAATCTTTCACTTTCTGGTCTATTACCTAATCTTAAAGTGAGTTTTTTTTGGTTATGTTAATCCAATTACAGATTAACGATTATTTTGACACTTTGTTACTTTTGTTTTACCTGTTCGATTGATTTTGACAGATAGTTGATGTTTCGAATTCAATAACTGGATGTATTCTTGATACTCTTAACTATCGAAGATTATTGGATATGGTTAAAGAAAATGTTCGAGGTTTAATCTTTCCAATGCAATTCGATAATACAATGGATAACATGTTAGAACAATGTAAAAATATCGAAATGATTGCAGCCCATTGTTTAGGTTGGCGATCGAGGAAAATAATGATTGGCCGAAAGATCAAACAGTTATACCTCAACTACGATTCTTTATCCTATTTCGAGAATCGGATTAGATATTTTCCAAATCTAATTCGATTGCATGTCTATTGTTAGTATCAAGTTGTAAGAATTGGTATTGATCGTTTTTTTTCTCGATCATTTTCAAATATTTAGTTTGAATTAATTTCAGATCATTCGGATAGATTAAGATTAAAGCCCAATAATCCATTGTTACGTAAACTTGAGATTATCGAGTTAGCAGCGATAAAAACTTTCTCCGATTCATCGGCTTACCATGGATTCCGTTTTATGGACTTATGTCCAGCATTGAAAAGTGCCTACCATTCATTTGACTGTACTAGAGGGATTATCGACGTTACTGAGATTAATTTTAATCTTCAAGATTTAGTTATCTATTATGTAAGTTCAATCGATTGAATTTAGTAATTGTTTCAATTGGACACTTTTCTCCAGAAATTTGATAGTGGTCAATCATGGGAATCGTTGGAAAAATTATTATCAAATTATCCAAACTTGAAGCATCTCGCCTTGAGAAAAAATAACTTAATCCATGATGAACATATAATCAAGGTGATCACCTTGTTACCGAGATTAGTTTTACTTGATGTTAGAGGGTCAAGGTGGATAACTCAAAGTTCAGCTGAAAATTTGAGACAATTTTGTTCAAGAACAAATCGATCAGTTTATTTTTACCACGAGCCAGGACATGCGAAAATTCAAATCGATTGGTCAAACTTATCGATTAGACATGAAAATATTTCCAAAGGATTTGATTTTATGAGTAACTGTTTTCTTAAATCTTTTTCACAACTTCCAAGGCTTATGGATAATCTTGATTAATCAATAAATCATTTAAATTGTAATCCAATTCTAATATTAATTGTCATTAAGAGAGAGAGAGAGAGAGGGGGGAAAGATCATAAAAAATTGGTTAATCCAGTTAACAAATCAAAAAGGCAATTCTTCACAATTAAAATTGACAATCAGCTCAGCTGATTTACTCTGTTAATAATTTTTATCTCTTTTGTTCAGATTTTTAATCCTTTTTACCCTTTGATGTAGTTTTTTTTGCTCATTCAAATATCAAGTTGAAAGATTATCAATTAACCTCATCCAATGAAAGATTGAATTTACTCTAATCTTTGTTTCTTCACTTAAACAACTAACCTAATCTAATCTTAACGATGAAACTCAATATTGGACATATTGAGATGCTCTTTAGTTGTCCTAATGATCGAGATTGTATCTTAAAAATAGAGACAGAGGGTTAGTCAAATCCAATAGAAATATTTCACTAAAATTGAGATAATCTGATACAATTGAAGAAAGTGATTGAATATTAACCTTGAAGTGATGAGAAGAGAAAATCATCAATGGTTTAAAAGGACGAGAATTACAGCAATAGTAAATCTTATTGTCCTTATTAACGCCTCTTCATTCATTGGATTTGAAGATTTTAATTGTTTCCATTTTGTTGGATTAACTTGGATCATTTAGTGATTTCTTTTTCTACTTTAAACTTTTCCTAATCAACTTTTGTTTCCATAAAGTTAATTTGTTTTAATTGTGTTGAGTGGTGAATTATCTTGGTGATAAAAACAAGTGAATGTTTATGATGATGATAATCATCAAAAGCAACATTTTGATAAGTATTATTTAAATTTTTATTAATACAATTTTAACTTTCATTACTTGACCATCGAGTGACCATTATAATGGTTATAACCATTTACAGGCGGAATTTACCTACTTTACGAGTTGGAATGAGCCGTTAACCGACTAAAGATGACCTGTACAAAGCTCCTGATGTCGACGAATCATTTAAAGCAGTGGTTGAATTTGAAAGGTAAATCAAAATCTTTGATAGACCTTTGACTCCAGAATTGACCTTTACCTGTAGATCAAATTTCCGTTATTTATTCTTGAGTTTTGAAAACAAATCTCAAAGAAAAATGACGCAAAGAAGAGATGAAATGAATCCCATTCAAAAATTGATCGAACCTCAAGTAATCTAAAGTTAGAAAATTAAAAGATTCATCACCTCTGTCGATTTCATGAAGTCTTACCTGCTTTGAATGTTTCATTTCTCCTTGAAAGTCGTTAGTCCTCGTGTCGGTTGTACATCCATTACCAAAATCATAATCATTTTCATTGCTATTAAACTACAAGTACAATTGTTTTAATATTTGTACTAATTAAATGTTAACTTCACCAGTTAATGTTAATAATAAATAACTTAAAATGATTTGAATTTGTTGATCTACACTCGAATTAGATAGCAAAAGAAAATATCAAATGCTAATAATAATAGTATTATAAACCTGGAAAATACATGATGTTACCGTTAATTACATTTGTCAGTGGATAATAAAAATTGAATGAAAACTTTTTTTTATCATTTCTGATAATTTTCATTTTATCTTTACAATAGATGGTAAATAAATTGTATATTTGCTTTTAATTGTTGCTAGAGTGAACCATTCAGTTTTAATTGTAATCCATTCTTATGATGTGCAAGTGAATACAATTAAAGATGGAGATACTTGTTCAAGAAAAATTGAAACCACTTCCTCATGATAATTGTAACTTTTTCGTTAGGATATTCATTCTGTAAGTAAAAATTGATTGTCGCTACGTTTCACTATGATTGTTGATTGATTTTTTTTTTCATTCGATTGATTCAGTTGGATATTTCCACTTTTTCGTACTGGATACAAGAAGAAAGATTTAAATCAAAATGATATTTACCAAGTGAGTGCTTATGATCATTCGGACCAACTACGAGACCAATTAAGACGGTAAGATGATCAATTTAATTCCTATCAATATCGTTAACGGTCTTGCGATTGAAAGTGAATCTTTTTCATTGAAAACTCTTCTAATCGTTGATTGATTGGCTTGATTTCTGCTAATCCATTTTTCTGTGATCAATTGATTTTGGTGTTTTTTTCACACGGTAAATTGTTGCTTATTTATCTGGGTTAATGAGTTTGGTTTATAACTAACAGAAATTTATGATGAACTAATAGCAGTTCTTTTATCGTGTTATTTGTAGCTTTCAAATGCTACATACCAGAGATATCATGATAATCAAATCTGTCCGTGATTATAAAAGTTACTCTCAATATCTGATTGAATTTAATAATTTCCCTTTCGTGTATTTCCTACAATCTAAAATTAGATATGAATGTAATTAGTGTTGATCTCATTTAAACATTCATGGGGAAAACAATTGGGAAAGATTTGAAACAATGTGGAAACTGAGATCATAAATCCATTTTATAAGATATGAAAAGAGCGCCAAGATATTGTTAATCTGATAAAATCTATTGTAATAACCTGTGGGGATAAATTTTGAGACTTTTTGTTTTAATTTCAATATTTAGAAAACTGCTTATGTCAATTTCGTGAAAATCATGATTATGATTTTTCATTACTTCATGAAGACTCATGTGAAATTTTATTCATTTTGGTCGAGCCATTTGACCACAAATTAATATCAAAGTTGAGGGAGAAAAAATTTAAAAAGTAATTACATGTTATCTCTATGAGAGTCTTAACAATGGGTTAGATAGGAATTTTTCAATTTTAGTAGAGGGTGAAAAAAATGGAATTTTCGTTTTCGATTATCTCTTTTCGGACTATCGATAAAAATGCATCGATACTGAAATAAGATCAAATTTTCAAGCGGATCCTGAAAAATCTATTTTTATCAAAATCTGAGAATCCACTGACAAGATATTAAAAAATATCGAAAAAAAAATATTTTAAAAAATTTTAATTTCAGGTCAATTTGATCTAATATATTATCGTCACTATTAACCTTAATGATGTGAAATTTGCAGACAATGGTCTCACATGTTTTAACTATCAGAAAATGAAATTTCATATGAAAATTCAGTATAGTTTTATTTTTATGAAGGTTTGACCAAAAAGTCTCAAAATTTATCCCCACAGGTTATATTAATAAGTTGATAAAATAACGAAATATTAATAATAGCTAATTGATTACAGCGAATGGCTTAAAGAGTTGAAAAAAAAGAAACCCAATTTGGCTTTGGCGGTGATCAAATCATTTGGACCAAGATATATAATCTCATCATTAATCATAACTGGATATGAAGTAAATGAACTAACGAAATTGCATGTTAATTAGTTTTGATGTTAATTATTTTTCCACTCATTATCATTTACTAGCAACTTATTCTGAAAATTGCTCAGCCCTTTCTTCTTGGTGCGATATTGGACTATTTCAATGGTATCGCTTACACGGAAGGTTATGATATCTATTATATTTCCATAGCTTTTTGTCTTTGCTCGGTCATCTTTATAATCAGTCATCATGCATGGTTATTGTACATCCTACGAATCGGAATGAAAGTTCGTGTGGCCGTTCAAAGTCTACTCATGGAAAAAACATTCGCTCTCAGTAAATCAGCTCTTTACAATAACAAAGGAGGAAATATAATTAACCTAATGTCAAACGATGTCACCAAATTTGATGAGGTAAAATTATTTTCATATAAGTAAATATAATATGATTTTTACTCTCAATTGTTTTTCTTCATTTTCTGATTCGATCATGTGGCCTTAGTGTGCCATGTTTGCTCATTCAGTGTTCATGGCTCCTTGTGAGGCTATTGTGATCTCCGTCATTCTATTCAATAGTCTTGGTTATCCATACATAATTGGACTTGTTTTACTTCTCGCATTTGTGCCCCTGCAAGCGACCATTGGGAGAGCTTTTGGAGCCGTTCGTAGAAAAACGGCAAAATGGACTGATCAGCGAATTCGCATAATGAGTGAGATCATTAGTGGGATGAAGGTGATCAAGTTATATGCTTGGGAAAAACCGTTTGCCGATATGATCGCAAAAATAAGAAGGTACCATCGGTTATTATCTCTTAAGTTCACTAACAATTCTAATTTTTTTATATTTTCTCTTCATGATGTTAGATCTGAAATAATGCAAATTCGTAAATCATGTTCATTAAGAGCGATCAATTTTACTCTGATGTTTGTCACCACAAAGACAATTTTATTCGCAGTTTTCATCACTTATGTTCTAACTGGACATGAGTTGACCGCTAAAAATGTATTCGTAACAACAGCTTTTTTCAATTCGTTACGTTTATCACTAACCAACCAATTCCCTCAAGGAGTATCAAATATATCGGAAGCTTTGGTTTCATGTAAAAGATTAACGGTAAATCATTTATTCAGCGTTTAATGTGAACATTTATAAAAACATTTTCTCGAATTTTATTCAGGATTTTCTTTTACTAGAGGAGAAGAAAGCTCTCGATCTAACATCGAATAGCTCATTTAAGCAAGTCTTTAGAAAAGATCAAAATAAAAAGCATTTAAAAGTTGCGAATCTAGTGGCCACTTGGGATGCAACCGATGAAGAACCGACACTAAACAAGGTCACATTCAAAGCCGAAAGTGGTAATTTAGCTCTTGTTGTTGGTGCTGTTGGATCAGGGAAATCGTCACTTCTTTTGGCAATAATGAAAGAAATTATTGTTAAAAGTGGAACCATTGATATAAATGGTACTTTATCTTATGCTTCACAAGAATCATGGACATGGAATGCAAGTATTCGAGATAATATAACATTCGGACAATCGTTCGATGAGCAAAGATACAGAAAAGTACTCGAAGTAACTGCTTTACAAAGAGATGTAGAGATCCTGCCTTATGGAGATAAGACACTTGTCGGTGAACGAGGGGTTGGATTAAGTGGCGGTCAAAGGGCAAGAGTTAATCTCGCCAGGTAAGAATTACTAGTGAATCAATTTAGATTTGTTTCTTTTCTAACCTTCATTTTTCTTCTTTCTTGTTTTTTTAAGAGCAATTTATCGTGAAGCAGATATTTACCTATTCGACGATCCATTAAGCG